AGCAAGAGGGGTGGGATGGTTGTTGAGACAAGTTCCAGATTTCTTATATGGAATTTTTAACAAAGTGTCTACTTTTATAATGCGCCCTTTAATTAGGTCTATTCCTGCTTAATCTTAGAAGAATGTAAATTACTTTAAAGGTGTTCTTGTAGGCGGCAGACCTCATCTATAAAGAAAGACAAAATAAAATATACCTACCCAGTTTAAAAAAGATAAACATCTAAACTAGTAAACAATAAACCTATTAGTCCAGTAATGGATTCAGGGTGCTATTCTTGATAGAATCGCTCTAAAAATTGAATTTCTTTCACACCACGGTATAAGAACAAAAAAAAATAATCTTCATAAAAGTTTCTTGAATGTGTATAAATCATAACAAAACGGAAATGCTGGAAAACATTCCTCCAGCATACCAAATATTTAAATGGCTTTGAATCAGACGACTTTTCCGAATATCTGCTTGATTAAATTAAAAATAAAATGGTATCTGCTAACATCCGACGTTCTCTGTATTATAGCCGTTTGCATACCAACTATATCAAGGAAGTCTTTAGATAAGTACCGATCCCTTAAAGTGACAATCCCCCATGCAAAAATGTAATTTTAAGGGATAATTTCGTCGAAGTTTCTCTTAAACACGGTTGGTGCAAACGGTTTCATGTCCTAAGAGCTTTTAGCCAAACCTAGATTTGGTTTTAAACTCTTTGAAATCAAAAATAGAACTGCCGGCTATTACCGACTTTGGATCGAAAATCGACAACATTGGTAATATGTCACCAATTTAAAATTTACCCAGACTTTCAACTGGAAACTAATATACTTGCCTTTATGCAAATGGAAAGAAGGTAAAGGTGCGTCAGTGCGGGGTTCACAATATTTGAAAACAAAACAAGCACACAAGCAGATCAATATACATATTTTTGTTGTTGTTTGAGGTCAGTTTATGAGTATATTATACAGTGTATTTTTTCCCCAGATAGATTTTGACATTGACAACTTTGAAATATAAACAATGCTGCTTATTGGTCACAAGATGCCATCTGCACGACACGCATTGTAAAACTGATGTCAACCTGCAGGGACACCTTATTTTGCGACCAATCAGGGCCAAGCGCTATTTTTTATGTTTCAAAGTTTTCAATGTCAAAATCCATCTTGAGAAAAAAATACACCATCGAAATAAAAAAAAAGATAGAAAAAAAAATCGCATAAGAAAGTTAAAAATGGTTCAACTTTATTGCGGATTCGCAAAAAAAGTTGACGGAATTATTTCAAAAATTCCGCACCCGCAATCCGGAATTCCGCATCATGAGAACTATGCTTAAGGGGTCCAGACGAACCCTGGGGGACGTGATGATACTAAGATTTGAGAAGATGTGAAGTTGTGTTATTTACGTCCTACTTGTGATATAGCTCTATATTCATTGTGATAGAGAGCCTGAAACGCCAAAGGTATCTAGTTTTTTTATTAAAACTTCGTGGTTTACTAAGTCAAACACCTTGGAGAATTCGGTGTTAAAAGAGCTTGTCAGGATGCCCACATAAGTGAGAAGATTTAGTTCGGTAGAAGCATGGATGAGTGTTTTTTGAAGCCAAACTGCTGGTGTATAATTTCAGGTCCAAGACTAGATGTTAAGAATTTCGTGAATAGGCAAATATGAAAAAGACGATGGACCACACATCGGAAGATATGGCCTAGGACAGAGAAATGAAAGAGGCGAGAGACTCCTCAACTTCCTCCAACAACACAACATCTATGCCATGAATAACTTTTTCAAAAAACCATTCCGTAAGCATACCATTCATTCATAGCACAAATATGATAAAAGATTGCATAGCACAAAATTCCAACCTTGGGCAACCAAGGGCAACCTTGTATCAACAACAGAATCAATGCTGAAAATAGTCGAACAATTCTACATAACACTGTACAGAAAACCAACAATCAATCAACCCTCTAGACCTCCAGTCACTAACGTTGGTTCTGAGAAAATTCCCGAAGTAGACATCGACGAAATAAAGAAGGCATTGTCTCAAATGAAAACCAACAGGACACCTGAAGAGGATAGATTGACAACGGAAATATTTAAATATGGCGGAGAACTTCTACTGAAGAGAATTAAAAAAATCTTTGATGGGTGCATTGCTGAACAAAGAATACCACAGTTATGGCAAAACGCAACAATCACACTCATCCATATAAAAGGAGAAAACACAAAACCTGAAAATTATCGCCTCATCAGTCTTTTATCCTACTTCTACAAATTATTCACAAAAGTGCTTACAAACCGCCTAATAAACAAGTCTGATTTCTATCAACCCCCAGAGCAGGCAGGGTTCAGAAGTAGATAGAGTAGTGTAGACCACCTTCAGGCGATCTGCACACTCATAGAGAAAAGCACCGAATACAACATCCCTATATACATAGCCTTCGTAGATTATAGGTCTTTTTGTTATTTACGTGAAGTATAGGTCAGTGCAGACTGCTGGTGCAGCTAGGTGTAGCACCAGGTTAAAGGAAAACTACCCAACGCGTTAGTGAAGTTCGTGTAGCGATAGGAGCTGATAATTCTCTAACCTCAAAAAATAATTAAAGTAAGTTGAATTGGAAACTAACCGAGAAGAAAATGTGTAATATTAATGAAAATAACAAAATCTACAAGATTTTATTTTCGAAAATTATAGAGGAAGATGAAGATTCCCTATCTTCCAACCCTGAAGACAGCTTCGTTGAAGTAGTTTTTGAATACTATTGCCCCCTACCCATTCTACACTTGTTACACCTACTCTTGAGCAGGTGTAGGTAGTGCAAGATTGGGCACCCTACACTGAAATAACAAACGCCTTACATTATTCGCACTTACCGTATAATAAACGCCTCAGTGCAGGAAAGTGTAAATTATTGTGCACTAGTAGAGGATAACAAACAGACCTTATGTGAAGGCTTTCGACTCTATAGAGCTACACGTCATTCTAGAAGCCTTAAACAGTGCCAGAATAGACCATAGATACTCTGGCATAATATCGTTTATCTACAAAACATAAACCAATTTTGCCGCCGCCGAAAGCAACACGTGATTATTTTGCAGTGGATATAAGTATTTTGATTTTCAGCATGCAAATTATGTCTAACTGAACAATTTCTTGGGATAGTATTTTGAATGTAGAAAATGTTGAGATAGCCGTTCGAGAGTTCTATTCTATTCTCTATAGAGGTATTGAAATGCATGTTCCAGAAAAAAGATCTAAAAATAAGAGGTTCCCTGGTTGGTATAGTGATGTGAATGAGCTAAAGTCGACTATTCTAAATAAGAAAAGGGTAGGTACATACATTGTGGGAGAAAACACATAATACGCAATTCTATGGGGAGTTTTGTGATTTAAGAAGACAATGTAAAATTTTGATAAAACAATGCTATGATTGTTATGTCATTGATGTTCATCTAGTATTATCCATGATAGTGAATTTGTGAATGTGAAAAATAGTAACTATGACTTGCCAAATTGTATGAGTTTGAATGGTAAAACTGCACACGAACCCCAGGAAATTGTACAGTTCTTTGCGAAAGTTTTTGGGTTTGTCTATAGAAAGATAGACTGTGGTGAACCGGAGGTAGATTGTGATAGAACCCTTGATATTAATACTTGTAATATAAATGTAATAGATGTATTCAACTCGATCGTAAATATTAAAACAAATCTATCAGCTGGTCCTGATGAATTACCTGATTTCTAGTAAAATTGTATAATGTATCTTTGTCATCTGGAACATTCCCTTCACAATGGAAGGATTCTCGAGTAACTCCAATTTTCAAGAGTGACGATAAATCTTTGGTTGATAATTATATGCCAATTTCTAAGTTTAGTGTTATTGCCAAGTTATTTGAATCAATAGTAACTAATAAGATAGCTCCTTCGTTCAACAAAAGATTTTTTCAGGTAATGACCAACGTGACCAACGCGTCGTTCAACTGTTACGAACTTTCTGGTCTACACTGAATCACTGGCGAGGGCCTTGGAGGACAGATATCAGATTAACTCAGTCTACACTGATTTTTCCAAGGCTTTTGACAGGGTGCAACACGATATTTTGTTACACAAATTTGAGTGTGTAGGTTTTCATGGTTCAATTCTGGCTTGGTTTAAGAGTTATTTATTAGACCGTACGCTGGCAGTTAAGTTAAACAATGTGATATCATCCAATATTAATGTGTTATCTGGAGTGCCCCAAGTATCACATTTGGCACCAATACTCGTCGTGAAAATATCCAGTACTAAATGGTCTTGGGTAGGACACTTGGCCAGACAATCAGAAGAGAGATGGGCGAAAAAACTACTATGCTGGAGACCACGCCTAACAAAACGTTCAGTGGGTCGACCTCCTAAAAGGTGAACTGATGACATACGAACCATAGCTGGTAGAAATTGGATAAAGAGAGCACAAAACCGAAACGATTGAAAAGTATTGAAAGAGGCCTACATCTTGCAGTGGATGGATAACGGCTGAAGAAGAAGATAGGACCATAATTAGTCACATTTTCTAAATCACCTAATTTGTGAATGGATACCACAAAAGTTGATTTCCAGAAGCCTAGAAATATACCGCCCTGTAGTGACTTGTCGAAATTTTCTATTTCATGGAGGTAAATATTATTCTATAGACTTATAAGCTACTTAAATTTCGTGTATTTATGTATGAGTCCCCTTAGACACAGACACGGCTTCCATGATTACTTCAAGGCAGCCTTTCAGAATTCTTCTATGCCTGAAACAAATAATCAATGACTAAATTCTAAATTGAAAAAGTAGTCCATATCTCAGTGGAGCTGAAATTTAATTAAATTTAATTAAAAAAAATAATAATAAAGTCTTCCTCCACAAAATAATTAATTATTAATTGTTATAAAAAGATAAAAAAATCATTAATTGTTACTATAGTAATTATTTTTTTCGTATATATATCTTGGAAAAATAAGAAAATTTTATACAAGTAGTTTGACAAAAATATTAGTACCTACTCACTTAGCAAAGATGTATGTCCTAAAAATCTTTCTTCTTGTAACTGTGCTAGCATACGTTCAAGCAGCTGTACTAGATCCAGTAGAAACATTAGAAGGTAAGTACGTAGTATTAAACTAGTTTCTAATGTCTGGGCATTTTCTCTATTGATTTTTCAATATTTTTCTTTTGCTGTTGATTCTGGGCTTTCAATAATGTACATTCCAGAATCATGTTTGTTTTTGTATCAATGATATTTCTTAAACCCGAATTCTATTGAGAGATTACCAATTAACATTTTTTCTTTATTCAATATTTATTTTAGGTTTAGAACTAACTCATCCATTGAAAGCTTTATCGAGAAACAGAAGACAAGATGGAGTTGATCCCTCACTTATGGAAGCTGTAACACAACCACAAGAAAGATTTTTGGGAGGGTTGTTGGAAAAAGTTCCAAGTTTATTAATAAAGCTTGTATCGGGAGTGATTCGTATGATAATGAGGCTTATAACCGGGGGACTTGGGGACTAAATTCTGTTTATTTCATGTGTTTATTAAAATAGCTATCCATAACAGTGTAAGGCAATTAATAAAATATAGATATGCATTTTGAATATCACCTGTCTATTATTACCCAGTTCAGGAAATTGTATTCTTAACATTAAAAGAGTATTGTAAATTACTTTAAACTTATTCTTGTAGGCAGCAGACCTCACCTATAAAGAAAGACAAATAAAGTGTACCCAGTTTAAAAAAAGATAAAAACAACTAAACTAGTAAACATCAGTAATAGATTCAGTATTCTATTCGTGATAGAATCACTCTAGAAATCAATTCTGTGGAGAGAAAAGTGTGACAAGCTAAATTGTTAATAAAATAAAAACTAATATTTTGGAGATTCTTAAACCAAATGTAATGAGTACTACAATAAGACCGCAAAATCTGAAAAGTCCCTTTACAAGTAACGAAGCTAATTATATGATTCCAAAAATTTTGAAAAGCATTAATGAGGCTTACGGTAATTTGTCACCAATTTAGTTTGCCACAACATACTAATATACTTGCCTTATGCAAATGTGAAAAAGTTAATGTGCATCAGTTAATCTTAATGCAAGATTAATAAGGTTTTCAGGATGCGAAAGTCAAGTATGTTCTTAGTGATTGTAGGTATTGATTCGTGTACCTAGTTGTGTGGCTCAAAGAGTTTGTAATCCAATAACCGTTTTACCATAGCCAGTTTTTGAAGACTCTAAATAATATACCTAAGTAAGAATATTGCACAAGATTAGAGAAATAGATTTATTAACTTATTTATTTATTGGCGGGTCAAGAGTAATAACAAGTTCTAAAACTATAAAATTCTGAATATAATGAAACAAAACAATGGAAAAGAAAATAAATTATCTACCTATTTGGATTTTCATAAAGTAAGGCCTTTTAGTGACAGTTTGCACAAAAGGTTCGGAATTACCAAAGAAATCTGATTCAGATAATTCTTTGCACAGTCTAAGGGTACGAGTGATAAGCATAATTAGTTCTCTGAAACTATTTGTGAAAAACTTGTGTAGTACGAATGTTCCGTGATGGAACATGTAATCCAATGCTGGAAGTTGAATAGGGACAACCTATACTAGAGTCTAGAGTTTATGAGTTTTTGAATTAGTGAGTTGTTAAGTAATTCAAAATAATGAAATAAATTATTTTCGTAAAATTTGTAGTTACTGAATCTGCATATAATTGTCTCTGAAAAGTTTCAATTCGATGGATATGGCATACTTAATTAGAACACCATATTGAAGCAGCACACTCTAAATGTGTTCTGACATAGGAAAAGTACAAATTTCTAATGGCATTAATGGTCGAAAGGCCTTTTGTGCTGCGTTTCACACAGCCAAGCATGCGGGAAGCCTTGTTGATTGCGTTGTCAATATGAGCTAGATTTGAGGTTATTAAAACACCTGATTTGATCCACGCAGCCTAATGAACCATCATCAATGTGATAGATAAAATTATTGAAGTTTCTAGATTTGCAGAATTAAATTAGGATCCATGCCATTGGCATAACATCATTGTGACAATCTGTCTAGATCTTTTTGAAGTGGTAAAAAACCTTTTGGAACAGCTTCAAGTCACCATCAGCAAACAGAAGAAAAGCACTATGCAACAAGATGAAATGTCATTGATAAACATGTTGATTAGTAAGGGGTCCAGGCGCGAACCGCCTAATTATAATATGATTTGAGAAACTGTGATACAGCTCTTTATCCGTTGTACGAGAGTGCCTGAAACGCCAAAGGTTTCTGGTTTTTCAATTAAAACTTCGTGGTTCGCTCTGTCAAACGCCTTGGAGAATTCGGTGTAAATAGAGTGTAACTCTTTACCTCTCTCCAAGGCGCTTGTCAGGATGCCGACATAAGTGTTTTGTGTCTTTATTTTCAAATATTTTTGGAATAGCATTGAGGATACTTATAGGGCGATAATTAGTCACATTTTCTGAATCACCTGACTTGTGAATGGATACCACAAAACTTGATTTCCAGATGTCTAAAAATACACCGCCCTGTAGTGACTATTGTCGAAATTTTCTGTTTTATGAAGGTAAATATTATTGGCTTATAAACTACGTAAATTTCGTGTATTTATGTATACGAGTCGCCTTAGATACAGGCACTGCTTCCATGATTTCTCCAAGGCAGCCTTTCAGAATTCTACTACGCCTGAAATAAATAATCACGGACTAAATTCTAAATTGAAGAAGTAGTCCATCTCTCAGTGGAGCTGAAATTTAATTTAAAAAAAAAAACAAAGTCTTCCTCCGCAAAATAATTAATTATATAATTGTTATGAAAATATTAAAAAATCATTAATTTTTACTGTAGTAATTATTTTTTTCGTATATATACCTTGGAAAAATAAGAAAATATTACACAAATAATTTGACAAAAATATCAGTACCTACTCACTTAACAAAGATGTATGTCCTAAAAATCTTTCTTCTTGTAACTGTGCTAGCATACGCTCAAACAGCTGTACTAGATCCAGTAGAAACATTAGAAGGTAAGTAGATAGTATATTAAACTCGTTTCTAATGATTTTTCAATATTTTTCCTTTGCTGTTGATTCTGGCTTTTTAATAATGTATATTCCAGAATCTTGTTTGTTTTTGTATTAATAATCTTAAACTCTAATTCTACATTTGAGAGATTACCAATTGACATTTTTTCTTTATTCTATATTTATCTTAGGTTTAGAACTAACTCATCCATTGAAAGCTTTATCGAGAAACAGAAGACACGATGCAGCTGATCTTTCACCTATGACAACTGATGAACAACCACAAGAAAGATTTCTAGGAGGATTGTTGAGAAAAGGTTCAAGTTCAATAATTGAACTTTTAAAGAAAGTGATTGATATGATAATTGGCCTTCTAACAGGAGGAGGATTTTAAATTCTGTTAATTTTATGCGTTTATTACGATAGCTATTCATAACAGTGAAAGGCCAAAAATAAAAAAAAAAATATGCATTTTAAATATTACCTGTCTATTTTTACCTAGTTAAGGAAATTTAATTCTCAATATTAGAAGAGTATTGTGAATTATTTTAAACGTGTTCTTTTAGGCGGCAGACCTCACCTATAACGAAAGACAAATAAAACGTACAAAGTTTAAAAAAGATAAAAACATCTAAACTAGTAAACATATTCATTCAGTAATGGATTCAGTATGCTATTCGTGATAGAATCGCTCTAGAAATCAATTCTGTGGAGGGCAAAGTGTCACAAGCTAAATTGTTAATGAATGGGCAACAATATTTTGGAAAGAAAAACTAAAAATGCAATTTTCTTTCACACTACGATATTAACTTAACAAGCTTTTAAACAAAAAAAGATTTTCTTTATAAAAGTTTCTAAAATGTGTATAGATCATAACAAAACGGAAATGCTGGCATTCCAAATATTTAAATGACTTTGAATCAAACTTTTCCGAAGATCTGCTTGATTATGTTGTACATACAAATTGTATTAAAATGGTATTCGCTAACATCTGACGTTCTCTCTCTTATAGCCGTTTGCACCAACCATTTTAAGGAAGCCTTGAGATAAGATATGTTTTCCTTAAAGTGACCCATGTTAAAATGTAATTTTTAGGGATAATTTTCGTTAAGGCTGTGACTATATTTTCAAATATTTTTGGAATAGCATTGAGGAAACTTATATAGGGCCATAATTGGACAAATTCTCTGAATCATCTAATTTGTGAATGGATACCATTAAACCAAAATTGATTTCCAGAATTCTGAAAATATACCGTCCTGTAGTGATTTGTTGAAAATTATATGCAGAGGTCGCGATTAAATAAAGCAGCAGCTTTTCAGAAATAGTAGATGAACCTTATCAGGTTCTCCTTTGTCTGGGTTGATATTTTTTTTAAGTCCAGTGTAGATATTTGAAATTGCAATACAAAGGTTGTGGGGGCCTGAAGAGGGCTGATCTGGCTTATCCAAGAAGTAATCTGTATAAACTGAGCCGAAGAACTGCATAAATTTTCTAAGAAAAAAAAACTATAGATATCGACTCTTTGATTAAATACCTTAAGTTAGATATTTTATCACTCTAATTTTAATTTTACTCATGTTACATAGCGTCTAATTTTGGATTACCTTCGATCACCATTATTTTGAATCGTCTTTGACGTCTAATGTTGGTGGTTGCATTGGGAAATAATTCAATTCGGATTAATTTTGATGGAAAACTCAATCTTACATTATATACGGTTTTTATATAACCAAACTGAAATTGGAGGTTTTATAAAATCTGTTTTTTTTTTTAAAGATAATTCCCCAAATCAAAAATTTAGTAACTATGTTGGCAACACAAGCCTTTTCTACATGAAAACTTTGATAGCATTGACAATTTTACATTGTATTGCCAACCTAATGTCAGTTTGACTTTTATCTTTAAAAAAAAACGCACTTCAAGTATAATTTCTCATTCATTTAAATTCAGTGGAAGCATTTTTTATTTATCTATATTCATAAGTGATTCAATATTCTTCAATTTACTCTCAATTTAAGTACCTACTGCAAAGATGTACTTATTGGGAGTAAAATTTACAATTATGTCGCCTGGCAACATGGCGAGTGATGAAGATGCAGAAAAGAGCTCTTCAAAAAATTGCAAATATTGCCAAAAATCTGTTGTTAGTACTATTTCAAAGTGTGTTAACTGTGAAGGTGTATTCCATACGTCCTGTGCCCTTCGGGTGGCAGGTCTGGTAGCAGTGGGAAAAAACAATCTAGTCAAATGTTGTTCCAATGAAGTTGAGGTTATTAGAAACGATGCGCGCACCAACGAGTTGTTGGAAGTCAAAAATGATATATTGAGAGGCAAGGACACGATTATCTCAGAGCTAAAGGCCAAAGAAGCTCTCTTGTATAAAAACATACAGTTGCTGGAGGAAAAACTTGATACATTTTCCAGAAAATATCAAAAACCAAAAAACTTGGAAAGTCAATGTGGCAACAGTGTAGCAGAAGCAGAAGCAATAGAAGCAGATTGCACAGCTGTTCCTGTTGTGACCTATGCGAGAATGACACAGCAAAACAATTCTCCTAACCTACAAATGTCTTCAAAATCATCCCACAGCAAACAAAAAGAAAAACATCCTGCTGCAATCTCAGTGCAGCAAGTCAATGCATCTGTTATGCAGGCACTACAGTCACTAAAATGAAGGAAATTCAGCAGTTGAATAGCGAAGTGTCAGTAAATGACAACTCTGGATGGAGGCAGGTGAGAAACCGTTCAAATCGAAGGTTTGTTGTAGGCAAAAATCAGGAGAATTCAACAATTAAAACTGTACCCAAGTATGTCTCTCTGCAAGTGACAAGGCTAGACCCAGGGACCAAGCCTTATCAACTTAGGGCATTTCTTCAGCCAAACTTTTCTGATGTTATTTGCGAAGAGCATGAGTCTAGGCATCCAGACTCTTACTCGTCAATGAAAGTCACTATTAGACAGGAAAACTTTAGGAGTGCATGGAAACGTGAGGCATGGCCGAGTGGAGCACTAGTGTCTCGGTTTTTCCAGAGGAGGAGGGTACCATTAACCCAGGTGGACCCTCACAAAGAAGTGCAGGCATGAACAGGAAGAACTCCCCAAGTAAGAATTCACAATTAAATAATTATTATCAAAATGTAAGAGGTTTGAGGACTAAATGCCATGAGTTTTTCACTGCCGTTACAGTAGAAGATTATGATGTTAATGCAGTCACCGAGTCATAGTTAACGGAAAGTGTGAAAAATCCTGAACTAGTTGATAATCGCTATACAGTTCATAGAAAAGGCAGATCTAATAAAAAAACCAGAGGCGGTGGTGTCTTGCTAGCAACAAAAAAGAAATTTAAAGTCGAGCCAATTCAAATTAATATTAGTGGTAATATTGAGTGCTTACTGCTAAAAGTTAAATTTAAGAAATTGTTATTTTATTTGTGTGTTACATATATTCCTCCAAATAGTTGTTTAGTTGTTATGATGAATATGTCCAGTTTTTTTCAGATTTTGATGATATTTTAAGTACAAATGTTGATATTTTATTCTTAGGGGACTTTAACTTGCCTCTTTTTGGTAGTAATAAGGGCTGTATAAATAGTGATTTGTTGAGTAATTTTATTAACGTCCACAATCTTACCCAATGCAACACAATTTTCAATCACATACATGCAAAGGAAATTGGATCTAATACTGTCGAACATGAATGTTGGTGATTTAGTAAAATGCAACAATCCACTGGTAAATGAAGATGCTTATCATCCTTCTCTCGAGTTTCCAGTGATAATCCATTTCTCTAACACAACCACGGACTGCATAAAAAAGTCGTTTATTTATGACTACTCGGAAGGTGATTTTCTCTTGTTATATAGACTGATTCAAGATACTGACTGGGCAGAATTGGAGGGCTGTTCTGATGTGAATGCGTGCATGCAGCTCTTCTATGACAAGTTGTACGCCTGTATTGATCAATCAGTTCTCAAAAAACAGTCACGAGAAGCATCAAAAGCATCAAGCCGGTATCCGGTCTTTTTTTCCCGTGATCTTATTTCAAAAATTAAACGTAAGAACCATCTTCATAGGCAAATTAATGCTGGTAATGCAGATTTCTCGATTGTGAATGAGTACAGAACCGTACAGAACCTTGAGAAGCGATGTGAAAGGGCTTAGTAGGGAACCGCTCCAGTCTTATAATGAAAATATTGAGAACAATGTACACACTGACCCCAATAGTATCTGGTCCTTTGTGAGATCTCGTGCTGTGAGTAGTGGAATTCCATCAGAGGTTTCCTATGGTGGTGAAAGCATAGCTGGCAATTCTAGCTGTGTTGAGAACTATAGGCCTATAAGTGTTCTGAACTCAGTTTCCAAAATATTTGAGAGATTGCTCTATGATAATATTCTGCTTTTCTTTAGAGACAGCTTCTCCGTGGCTTCTCCCCAGAACAACATGGTTCTCTGCCAAGAATGGCTACTGTCATCTTGATGGACTGTATCAAAGCCTTCGACAATATGGATCACTCTGTACTCATTCAGAAATTGAGCAAATTTAACTTTGGTTTCAAGGCATGTATGTATGTGGGGTCATATCTTTCTGGCAGGTTGAACCAGATTAGACTGGGGAAGAGCCTGTCTGAGTCTTTTATATCTACGTCGGGGGTGCCCCAGGGTAGCAATTTAGGTGCCCTTCTCTTTGCTATATTTATTAATGATTTGCCAAGATGTGTTAAATACTCAAAAAGTCTTCTATTTGCTGATGATTTCAAAATATTTAAGGAGATCTCAACATTGCGGGACTTACAGGAGCTACAATGCGATTTAAATTCAACTTGTCAGTGGTTCAAGGATAATAAAATGATGTTCAACACTTCTAAATGTCAGGTTTTTACAATCACATGAAAAACACAACTCCTAGAAAATAAATACATAATTGACAACTCTGTGATATGTAGAAAAAGTAATTGTAGGGATCTGGGGGTACACTTTCAACAAAATTTTAAATTCAATGAGCACTATCAGATTATTGTTGGAAAGGCATACAGAACACTTGGCTTCATTATTCGGAACTCGAAGTATTTCAAAAGAACTGAAACCATTATACTATTGTACAATGCACTAGTAAGACCCCACTTTTATCATCATATGGGCGCCGAAAGCCGAATCCAGCAGTGATCTGATAGAAAAAGTTCAAAAAAGATTCCTGAGATTTCTCTATGTAAAGAAGTTTAATGTGTACCCATATATGATCTCTTATAATAGCATGTTGACTTGTTTTAATCTACCTCGGATGAGCAGTAGAAGAAATATGCATTCAGCCCTATTCGTTTTTAATATAATAAATAGCATTAAGTACAAAGATTGTTCCTTAATAAATAGTATTAATTTTTTTATCCCAAAGGTGCACTTAAGGATAGGTAACTTCCGACTGTTTTTTACTGATAAGTTTGATTGTTCACCAATGAACAAAATGTTAGAAGAATGTAATATTGTGATAGAAAAATGTGATATAGACTTTTTTAGTTCCTCGGTAAGTAGGATCAAACTTGCCTTTGAAGCCAACTTTTAGTCTTTTTGAATTGTTTTTAAATTGTTTTACCATATTGTATGTTGATGTTATTGCTCTTTTTATTTTCTTTGTTTGTTCACTTGTTTCTTCATGTTAGCATAGATATACATATTCATAGGTTAGTATTGGCAGTAAGCACTCTTTAAATGTAACTACAAAAATTCTTGTGTTTTAAATGAGTATAAATAAAAAATATATAAAAAAAAAACTTCCTGTAAGTCTGTATGCCTAGTGACTGGACTGGAATATTCTAAAATTTTCACCTTGGAGGAATAAACTGATTCGGAAAATCCTTGAATCCTTCGAGAAAATTAGTGAAAGCTTGATACACATGTAAAGTCCGCCTTACGAGTCTAGCACGACGACGTCTGAAGAGCAAGGGGACATAACGCCATTCATTTCGAGCTTTATGCTGCCTGTCATAGGCGAGCGCGCAACTTTTTTGAATATTACTTTTTCCTTATAAATGTATATGTGTAATATAAATAAATATTAAGGTATTTTTTATTGGAAGTCAAATAGGCAATATTGCAATTTTTTTATCCGCATTCTTTCCATAGTGCTAGACTCGTAAGGCGAACTTTAAGCTGTCCGCGACAAATTGAACGTTGAACGATCTAGAAAAGTTTTCAATTGGAGACCATAAAGAAATCAGATTTAGTGAAATAGAAATAGTTGCGTAACCTTTTCAAAAGTTACTCCACTTATCTAAAAACCCGCTTACGTAACAATATTTTTATTTTAATTAACTTTTTAATTTAGGTAGGCGATGCACATTAAATTTATTTCAAAACTCATTATTAAAACAATAATGTTTTATTAACTTTAAACTTAATTCTACAATATAATTAATTGAATTACACAAGACGTGAATTTTTATAGTAAATTAATTTTTCTTTATACATAAATGCTACAAAACATAAAGAAACACAATTTTTGTTCAAAATCTGTAACAATGTCGATCATAACAAGTGTTTTTCTTTTTGCCATTCTAGCATGCTTTTCGGCAGATTTAATATCTGCTCAAACACATCCAAGGACTCTTTCTCCAGAAGGTAAAAGTAACAATAATTAATAGAGTACCTACTTCAATAGGTTTTAAATAAAAAATATGTTGTTATTTTATGTTTATTTTTCAAATTTAGGATTAACTGATCCTCTTGAAATTTTATCGAGGAAGAGAAGAAACGGAGAAGTTTTCGTCGAGGAACCATCAGCTGCATGGATTCCTTCTCCAGAAGGTAAAAGTAACAATAATTAATTTGAATTGAAAAAACTTCATAAACCTAATAGGTTTTAAATGAATACTTAAATGAATATTATTTTCCAAATTCAGGACTAACTGATCCACTTGAATTTTTATTGAGGATCAAAAGAAGTACGGAGATTGCAGACGCAGCACTAAGAGCATTAATACCAGCAGAATTAATACATGCTCTTCCGGGATTTATCGGGCATCCTATTGCTGAGTTGATTAATTTTGTGATAAAAAAGTTCTTTGGATTAGCAGCCTGGATTCTAAAAAATCTTATCCCCACAAAGTACTTGGCGAGAATAATGCCAGAGGAATTGTGGACCTTTTTCCCAAAATTAAGAGCGAAGTTAGCGAAGAGGCGGGGAAGAGGCAGGAATTAAGAGTAAGTATTTCATTCAAATTAAACTTGAAAGATTATTGCTAGGTACATTTTTGACATTGAAAATGTTTGTGTTATCCTAGTATAGGGGGGTCCAAATCACATAAAATTTGCATTTTACTATTGTTTATTATTATAAGACATGCGACTGTGAATGTTTTCCTTTATAAATGTAGATTTCGTATTAAATGGATTCGTACATAATAATTATGAATTATTTTTCGTGAACACCTTGTATATTTTTTAAATATCTACTGGGCAATCAACATAATTCAAGTTTTTGAATTTCAGAATATGAATAACATTATGATAATTTTAATTATGACTTTTAAACATTTATCTAATTAACTAAATGTTCACTTTTTTTGCAGATGGGTGATCGATGGCTAAATCCAAATTAGTAGGTACCTACCTATTGTTCGTATGTTTAGAAACGTTAATAAAAATATTTGAAAATTTAACTGTTTTCTATTTTGACGCAGTACGTTTTTCCAGGAAAATCAAATGAAAGCTTTTTCCTAAACAAATATAAAATCTTATAGGTGCTCCTCGCGATTTTAGAAAACATCAAAAAATATTGAAAATTTAACGAGGAATTAAATGATTTTATCTTGAAGCGGTCCATAATTTGAACTCTATTGTCGTCAACACTCGACACAGAAGTGATCCATAATGTTCCTAGGACCATATTAGTATATTGTTGTATTAGGAGTAGAAGTAGCCTCGGCTAGGCCTTGGCTATGAAACACCAGCTGCAGCATTAAATCTTGTGCTTTTCTGCCTAGTAAAAAAAAACTGTTCTATCATCTCGGCAGGTGTTAATGCCCGCTAGATTTGCCTAGCAGCATAGAAATCAAATTTCTAACATCTTGACAGGTGTTAACAAAGTGACGTTCTGGGGGAAAAGTTTGTTAGATTTTTTCTCGCTAGAGGCAGCAGCGTATTATGTTCTTGTAATTAATGTGTAATGACCCGGGAAAAATAGACTCGTAAAATTAAAGAACTTAAAAATACAAAAACATTAAATTTGAATTTAATCAAATAATCCTAAATTCAATCTCCAATATTTCAAATCAGTATCAATGAAACCGAAAATAATGAGACAAATTAGCATTGACCCAAATTGATTAGGTTTTTTATGTTATATTTAGGATGACGTCATCGAACAAGGATAGACAGTGTTGTCGATGCCTATTTTTTCTCTTATAATTCTTCCAATTGCCAACCAAAAACATCTGTAATTTCCCTACTTTAAATGTGTTAAAAAGTACTTTTAGTTTTGTTGGGTTGGCAGCACACATTGACTAAATGTGACGTCATCCTAAATATAGCGTGAAAATCCTATACGTTCAAATTTTAAAAGCCAGTGACCAAGCGCGTGTCATCATTTGAACTCATAAATCCAAACCAGGAAAAAATTAAAAACAAAGGCAAAGCAATTAAATTGGTGACTAAAGGCCAAATTCTCCGTATAGTGCATAAAGCCTGGCTTAGTTGAAAAGCACGGCTTTGTCATACAAAAAGCCAAGCGTTTCCACTAAGTCAGGCTTTATGAGCTACGGAGAATATGGCCCTAAGGGACAGATTCCATGATTTACGGCCGACACGCGTTTTCGGCATCCTTTGAGTTATTCATCCTCACATTCTTATACCAAGTCTGTTGACCCCGATAATCCAGGAAATAAATAATTATAAGATAATAATTGTGTCCTTGTCAGGTGTCGAACGGAATGCGTGACGTATGCGTTCTGTCTTACACCTTGTCAGCTGTTTGATGTTTGATGTGAGGAATATTTTGAATTTTTAATTTTAATTTTAAATGTCGAATTTTTGGCTGGATCCTTGCATTCTCTCTTAATATTTGATAATATTTGGCAGTTATTATTTTAGAGTTTATTAGCTAATAGCAGCAAATATCCAGTTAAGTTCCCCAAAATTTTGTAGAGGGCGCGAGTGAACTTGGAGTGCTTCAAATTTTGGCGGTAAATGTCAATAGTTTTAAATAGTTTAAAATATCTTCAAAAGCGTTTAGTGGCCCTTAGAGAATATTTTTAAAAGTGTCACCGTCAGCTTGTCTTGAAACCACACATCAAACTTAACTTTTGAGGTTAAAATTACAATCGATTATTTACGCTCCAAAATTTAAAGAGCTTCAAGTACAGAACTTACAGAAGCGCCCTCTTAAACTCGACTGTCAATATTACATACCATTGCGTTTTAATGATCACATGTCCTTATTGTGTTGTCTTTACTGATTTTAAATATGACTTCTAGATGTGTGGTTATGCCCTAATGAATGACTTGCTTGACTATATCATGCTATGCCGACTATTTTATATTATCTATGTTAGAGCTTACATGCTAATTCTGGTGAGTGTAAAACTGTTATTGTCACAAAAAATGAATACGGCCTGTAATAGATCGTTTTTCATGTTTTTTAGTTCGTCCTGATGAAGTTTATAATCATAAACGAAAGCTGGAACCTGGAATAAAGGCGTTATCTAAGAAGCACTCTAGAACTTTGATTGCTTCCTCTACGATTCCTTTTAGGGGTTTCCCAACGTTACATTGCAATCTACATACCTATACGAGTACCCCGCTACTTTCCTCCACATTCTAAATAATTATATTTCTTAAGAAAAACGAAGGTTAATGGATGGGGGGAACGAAAAATATAAAAACAGCGGTTTTAGAAGTTTACAATCAGTCTTCAGATCAGTTCAGTTGAGTTCAGTCTCCAGTTCAGTTCAGATAGAGTATTGAGTCTTGAGTTTACAGTGAGATTAATGAGTCAGTCCTGATAAAATTCGCGAATAGTTTCTTTAATTTTGTTGCCTCGGGAAAACGCGTTAAATTGACTTTGAAAAAGTAACGAAAAATTGTGAAAGAAAGAACATTTAAATTCGTTCAACATTGTGTGCGAGCTCTAAATAATCAAAATAAATAAGGATAATTGACTTTAAGGCCTAGTTGTACAATCTCGGTTCAAAACAAAGTTCAACTGAACTCGACTGGTACTTGAGCTTTCCCATTTAAAATACATTGCTGTCAGCTATCAATCAAATTCTCTCAACTTTGACAGCAATGCATTTTAAATGGGGAAGTTCAAGTACCAGTCGAGTTCAGCTGAACTCTGCTTTGAGCTAAGATTCTACAACTTGGCCTAAGGGCGATATTTAAATGTAAGTACTCTAGTGACATGTTTATTTGACTTTATCAATGAATAAAATGACTACGAAGGAAGTGAATTGACTATGGAACATTGTTGCATATATTTTATTATTTTGAGTGAAATGACTTCGAATATTTTTGTGCTTAATATAGATAGAGAAAGGATAACGCACACCTAACATGGAATTTTTGGGCTCTATGAATTTTGCCCATTTTTTGATATGTTGTAGAGGATTTAATTCTGAACAACCTTTAAATGGGACGAAATCTTGTAGGTACTACGGTCTTTGAGATATGAGCGTTAGAAGAGGAACTTTTTTGCGACTTTTTGTGTGGAGAGTATACGAGATACTGGTGCTACTGGTGTTTATCAGTCAAAATATTGACAGGTTCACATATTTCACGTCACTTACAAATTAATGTCAACATAAGTTAAGGCCGGAACCGCACTGAGGTCAATGTTGGTGCTAGTGCGGTCTCGGCCTTAGCTTATGTTGACATTTGTTAGTGACGTGAAATATGTCGACCTTTCAAAATTTTGACTGATAAACACCAGTTTTTCGTATACTCTCCACACAAAAAGTCGCAAAAAAAGTTCATCTTTCAGCGCTCATATCTCAAAGACCGTAATACCTACAAGACTTCGTCCCATTTAAAGGTTGTTAAGAATTTAATCCTCTACAACATATCAAAAAATGGGCAAAATCCATAGAGCCCAAAAGTCCCATGTTAGGTGTGCGTTATCCTTTAATTCAAATGACTGTTAATTGAAATTAATTTTACTGAATGGATAATCAAATTGACTGCTATTGTTCCGTCTAGTAAATGATTAGTTAGTTATTTTGGTTCCTACCTAATTAAATGAATTTAGATAAAATGTTCATTGTTTTGATAAGCAATTACGCTGGCTAAGTACCTACACGATTTTTGAGTAGAAATAAGTATTGTACAAAATTTGGCGGTTAGCGAATTCAGGAATTTTATACGCTTATAGAACCGGAAGTTATAATAATTAAACTAAATTATGAATTATTGTTTTGAGGTGTAAAAGAAGTTTTGGGTTAAAAATATTTTACCTAATGTAGTAGGGCTAAATAAAAGTGTTATCAAAGTACAAGGCTTTTTGATTGCAACATTTTATTTACAAGCTCAGAGACAGTATAGAGGTGGTTGTAAGTTAGCATCATTTAGAATTGTTTATTTTTATTTTAAAAAGTCGTTCGATTAGGGTACCTATAGAAAATTTGTACCATTGTAATTGGAAAAGAAAATCTATTTATTTTCTCATTAATAAAGTATATTTATTAACGAATGACCATAAATCAGTTGTTTCACTCTCTTGCAAATAAACCCGCCCCCACAATTTTACTTGACAGTAGCTGCCCAAGGAAATAATTATCATCAAATACGACCGCTCGCAATTTACCATCTAACCTTGATAATAGAGTACTTACCGCGGATGCTACAGCAGCGTCAACGACTAAGTTCTCAAGATCATAGGTTATTCATAATTTGCACTAATTTGATCGTTTGAAATTTTTTGTACAATATTATAAATTAAATTGTTACAAAAATAGAAATGGGACTAAATTCAAGACTATGTTTTTGAACTAAAAAAGAGTGTTCGGGTTAAATGTTTCGGATGTTCCACAGTTCAAGTGTACAAGAACTATCTATGATCCATTGCCTTGGAGAATTCCCCAAGTGAGGAGATTTAGTTCGATAGAAGAGTGTTTTTTAAAGACAAACTGCTGATGTATAATTTCAGGACCAAGGCTAGATGTTAAGTATTTTGTGACTATATTTTCAAATATTTTTGAAATAGCATTGAGGATACTTATAGGCCGTTAATTAATCATATTTTCTGAATCACTTGATTTGTGAATGGTTACCACAAAACTTGATTTCCAGAAGTCTAGAAATATACCGTCCTGTAGTGACTTTTCGAAATTTTCTATTGCCTGTAGGTACATATTCTATAGGCTTATAAACTATGTAAATTTCATGTAGTTATGTATAGGAGTCCCCTTAGACACAGGCCCAGCTTCCATGACTTCTCCAAGGCAGTCTTTCAGAATTCTCCTGCGCTTGAAACAAATAATCACTGACTGAATTCTAAATTGACGAAGTAGTCCATCTCTCAGTGGAGCTGAAATTTAATTCTAAAAGAAAACACAAAGTCTTCCTTCAAAAAATAATTTTATCAAGTGAAAGAGCCTTACATGTTTCGAGGCTAAAAAACATCATCATCAAGGGCAAGTGTTGCACTATTTTTGTTGTAAATTAAAAAAAAAATCAACTTCTCAAAAGTTACGCCACTTATCTAAGAACCCGCTTACGTAACAATATTTCACTAATATTTTTATTGTAATTAACTTATTAATTTAGGTAGGCAGTATGCACATTAAATTTATTTCAAATCTCATTATTAAACCAATAACTTTAAACTTAATTCTACAATATAATTAATTGAATTACAAAAGTCGTAAATTTTTATAGTAAATTAATTTTTCTCTAATGTATAAATACTACAAAACACAACCTTTGTACAGAATCTGTAACAATGTCGGTCATAACAAGTGTTTTTCTTTTTGCCATTCTAGCATGCTTTTCGGCAGATTTGATATCTGCTCAAACGCATCCAAGGAATCTTTCTCCAGAAGGTAAAAATAACAATAATTAATTTAAATTGAAAAAACTCAATAGGTTTTAAATAAATAATTTGTTGTTATTTTATGTTTATTTTCCAAATTTAGGATTAACTGATGCTCTTGAAATTTTATCAAGGATCAGAAGAAACGCAGAAGTTCTCGTCGAGGACCCACCGCCATTCCATGCGATTCCTCCATCAGAAGGTGAAAGTAACAATAATTAATTGAAATTGAAAAAACTTCAAAAACTCAATTTTGTGTTTATTTCTCAAATTTAGGATTAACTGATCTTCTCGAAATTTTATCGAGGAAGAGAAGAAACGCAGAAGTTTTCGCCGAGGAACCATCAGCTGCATGGATTCCTTCCCCAGAAGGTGAAAGTAACAGTAATTAATTTAGATTGGAAAAAACTTCAAAAATTTAATAGGTCGTAATTGAAAATTATCTTATTATCCTATGTTTTTCCAAATTTAGGATTAACTGATCCTTTTGAAATTTTATCGAGGCAGAGAAGAGACATGGAGAATGCGAAGGAAGAAAAGCAAGCTGCGGAACAGCCAAAAAGTAGAGCATTAATACCCGCAGAATTAATCCATGCTATTCCGGGATTTATCGGGCATCCTATTGCCAAGCTCATCAAATTTCTGTTAAAAACTTTATTAACTTTTAAGGCCGCTATTTTAAAAATTCTTATCCCCACAAAGTACTTGATAAGACTAATTCCAGACAAATTGTGGGGCTATTTCCCAAAATTTTGGAAGCATAAGGATGCAAAAGTACGTATTTATTTCATTTAAATTAAACTTGAAAGATTATTGCTAGGTACATTTTTAACATTGGAAATGTTTCTGTTATCCTAGTATTACCGGTCCAAATCACATAATGAAAACGGAGGAGGACGTCAATATAATCAGGAATCAGATGATGTAGACTCGGATGATTCACTATCAAACATATTGGAAGGATTGGTAATTATCAATTATTTTTCGTAAACACCTTGTACATTTCTTAAATATTTATTGGGCAATCACAATGCAAAATTAATTTTCAGAATATGCATAACATAATAAAAAACAATTCGTCATATTCAAATTTAGATTAAATGTTCACTTTTTTTTTGCAGTTTCCAGATGAGTGATTGATGGCTAAATCCTACCTATAATGTCAGCATGTTTATAAACGTTAATAAAAAGATTTGAAAATTTAACTGTTTTCTATTTTGACGCATGTACGTTTTTTTAGAGGAAAATCTAATGAAAGTTTTTTCCTAAACAAATATAATTTTCATGTTAGAACTTTTGTGCAATTTTTTGAAAACATGAAGAAGTATCGAAAATTTGATGGTAAAGGAATTAACTGATGTTCTATTATTCACCTACGTCCTCAAAATAAATAAACATACAGATTTCGAGTGAGATCAGAGAAATTATGAAAAATGGAAATTTTCACAAGGAGGTTGTTACGGGTTCAAATTTCAATCCAATTATTGGCTTGATTTCAATATAGTAAATTAATTCGTGATCAATATTATGCAATGAATTTTCTAAGTTGTTGACAGGTGTCCGTTTACTAAAATATTATTATTATTGTGAACTAGGCTTAAGTGGATATGTACATTTAAAACAGAGAACTCATCGGTTCCTCCATCTGTTGTCCCAAGCAAATAAGTTTAAATAGTAAATTTCAACAATAAAATAGGATTTCTTCTCATAAACAAATATAGGAACAAAAAAAAAAAGGTAAAATGAAACCTTACAATAGGTAGCGTATTTATATGCAGTTTTCTGCTTTTATGGTTTTTGTCTTTTACCAAAAATGTATTCAGAGACTTCCTAAAATTGTCGGTACCATCTGGATAATTTTTGAAAGTAGATAATTGATTTATTGTTTTTGAGAGCTAGACAGCTATTTCTGAGTTCTAGTTCTGATGAGCTGATATCCTATAAAACAGGGTGGAAAAATAGTTTGGATGTTTTAGTTAAATAGGAAAGGTTAACATTACTTTAGATTGAGTTCTACCATTGGTTCTACCAGTTCCATATTGACAAAGATGTCAATGACGTCTTGGGTAATTCAACTTAGGTCGTTAGAATTCTCTCAACTGACAGGATTCTGGACTCGTGCTGGAGGAGATTCGTAACCTCTTTCTTTTAGAAGAAGATTCCTGACCAGGTGGTTGATTTTTCTTCTTGGCTCTGCCAATTTAATAAGTAGCCTACTTTCACTCTAATTTTGAAATTAAGTTTCGTTTTGCCTTCCTTATTACGCTGTGCAACCGTTCTGGCTTTATGCCGATTTAACATAGGTAATTAAAGTTAAAATTGACTGGTACGGTTACGATTTAACTTTCCACTCCAAGGCCATTCAAAAACAAGGGTAAGATTTCTCAGTTTTCTCAGTTTCTTTATGCTCCCTTCCTAAAACCATCCTTACTCAGAAAATGTAACTATTAACATTAATTGTCCTAACTTACCCCTTGTATGATTTGTATCAGAAATGCTTCTAATACTTGATTCTCTTTAGGCCTGCTCATACTGCTCATAACTGCTCACACGTGCTCATAACCGCTTACACGTCCCTATAACTGATTACACGTGTCTCTATTGGCTTCTTTCTACCTCTATCTGCCTCTATCTGTTCTACCTACTTCTACTGGGTTGAAACTGCTTCCATCTGCTTACTTATGACCGTCTAAGTACCCAAACCCAGTCCAGGTTTCGAGGCCTAGCTATACCATCCGCATTATTGTATTTCTTAACCCAATTTTCAGAGTGTCAACGTCAGGGCTTCTTATTTCTAGTTAGGTTTGGCTATGAGAGTACTTTCGCTTTTTCCTGTTCATTTAAGAGGGGCGTCAGATAGGAGCCAGCGCGCCATCTTTTGGGCTTTATGACATACATTAAATATTTTTTAATCACAGGTGTGCACATTCCCTGTAAGTGATTGACTTATTTACAAGTAGATGGCGACATCTTCAATATCCATTCGTTTACACAGTAATATACAGTGGACTAAATAATTTTATTCAGATGCAGATGAAATAATAGTATTTCACATTATTAGCTAGGTGAAACAGTTTTTACTAGCGTTTGAAAGAAGTTAATATGCCTCCCGAACTCAGCGACATCTTCAAGAGAAGCTCTGAACACACGTTTGGTTTGAGTCTCTGCTAAAAATGACAGCAATCACCTTTTTTCTGGCAGATTTTGATTAATTTTGGAAAAAAAAACTCATAAATTAACGGAAATTCTGTTCTTTTCAGTTATTCCAGCATTTTATGATCCGAAATTTTGGAAATTTATTGTTGGTGTGCTTCTCTATATGTTTATCCCTTTTTCATTTAAATCCGTGACCAAAATTTGCATACTGTTGTCAACAAAATTGGTGATAATTTTACTATTTAGACTGCGAATTCTACAACCAAAAATGCTTCAACTTATACTCCAAACTACTAATTGTTATGAACATATCTTCATTCCACTGAAAAGTGGTCTAAATTTGGAATTGAACAGAAATTTGTGAAGGTCTGTAAATGACATTTTATTTAAACGCCCCTCTTAAGAGCGGATACTTGCTTTCTGGAGGGCTAAAACAGGTGGCGTCCTATATTATGTATTATCCACGACCACTCTACTGAAGAGTTAGCTGGCTGCCCTATAAGGAAGTACTCCAATACAGTAATATTTCGTGGCCACCTTCTGGGTTATAGTAGTTCTGGTCCTGGACTGAGAATAGTCTGGGCAAATAAAATGCTTGTGACAAATTGTAACAAATTTTTTTTATGACGTCCAGTTGTTTCGTTTTCGCTATTTTTGAAGACATCAAATTATTCAACAGACTAATTTTGAGAAAGACCTGAGAATTTTTTATATGCAGGCCCCTTAGAATTTTCCTATTGTTTCGTTTCAGCTTTTTTTGAAGACTTGGAAGAAATATCGAACATTTAATAGTAGAGGAATTCCGCACATTAAAACACTTGAAAGTTTGCATATTAATATTTATTTCACATTATGTAGTTTCATTTGTAGATAACATTTACCAACAAAATGGCGTGGACACATTCCGATACACTACTTGACACGCCAAATAAGTATCATCAGGACACATAAATTGCCTAAAAAGTTATTTTGTTTTTTACATTAAAGGTGTTTTTTTTTAGTTATAATTTGTGCATGTTATTTTTAAAATTTTTACTTCTATTTTAACAACATAATATAATAAACCGTATATCTTTTACTGTAATAAAATATACCCTGTATTTATAGATACAATGGTAATACTAGAGATAAGTAATATGGAATTGGATAGCTCTATAAATGGAGATATAGGTACCTATTGCCCGCACTTTATCTTTGTTAGTAGGTTATTATTTCACCGATTTTCTTATATAATATCTCGTTTGATGTAGAAACAAATTGTGTAGTTTGGTGAAGTTTTCATACTCGTAACAGTCTTATGAAGTTTAAAGGGCTTCTTTCTATGCTACACTCTTTTAGAAAAGGAAATGTGGTCAGACTCTTTAAATTTCGTGTACAGGGTGTTTTTTTTTTATATATCGACACCCCACCTACAGCCTTTACCTTTACAGGTAGAAGAAAGGTGTAAATACAAAAGTTGTACAGTTTTGGCTGAATTTTCAGAAACCATGGTCAGAAACAAAATTTTGATTGTCATAAATATGAAATTTTGCATTCTTCCAGCTTTTTTCAAATGGGATGCCCTATATTTCATTTTATATTCTTGAAGAGCACAATACCCCAGTTGATTGAACAATCTCTCATATATACTGATTTTGTAAACCATTCTACCTGTACAGGTGAACGCTGCAAGTAAAATTTGAGGTACTTTTGAAATTTCTAGAACCAAATATGTTGGAGACGGCTCAATCAAATACAGACAAACTATATAGTTTTGAAATCAGGAAATTGAAAAAACATTTCACATTTCTGACCATGGACTCTAAAAATTTAGCCAATACTCTACAACTTTTGTATTTACAGCTTTCATCTACTTGTAAAGATGAAGACTGTAGGTGGGGTGACCATATATAAAAAAACACCCTGTACTTGAACAATAACTTATTATATAAAGTCAGAATATGTAAGATTATCCACTTTTTGTCAATTTGCCTTTCAACAGGAATTAGTAATGTTACTTTACCAAACTAGTAATGTAATGTGACAAGTTATTCAAGTAAAAACGAGTGGATTTTTGCGGAACTTATGGGTGGACCTCTGCGAGACGAGCGCAGCGAGTTCCGCAGCCATTTATTCATCAATATGTTGTTTAATTAAGATACATACTTGATTTACTCAAATGTGAGTTATTCTCATTAGCTTAAAAACTACATGTTCCAAGTGAATGTCTTACTTGAACAGTTCAACAGTATATTGGTGAGTAGATGGCTGCGGAACTCGCTGCGCTCGTCCCGCAGAGGTCCACCCATAAGTTCTGCAATAATCCACTTATTTGTACTTGAGCAATAACTTATTATAGAAAGTGAAAATTTGTGAGATTATCTACTTTTTGTCAATTCACCTTTCAACAGGAATTAGTAATGTTACTTTACCAAACTAGTAACACCTATATTGTGACAAGTTATTCAAGTACAAACGAGTGGATTATTGCGGAACTTATGGATGGACCCGGACCCAGCCATCTATTCACCAATATGTTGTTCAAGTACAATACTAACCTGACTCACTTAAATGTCAGTCATTCTCATTAGTTCAAAAATTAAACGTTTCAGGTGAGAGTCTTATTTGGATAGTTCAACAGTATATTGGGGATAGATGAGGTAAAGGTCCACTCATAAGTTCCGCAATAATCCACTTATTTGTACAGGGTGTTCTTTTATATATTGACACCCCGCCTAAAGCCTTTACCTTTACAGGTAGAAGAAAGATGTAAATACAAAAGTTGTGCAGCTTTAACTGAATTTTTAGAAATCATGGTCAGAAACAAAATTTGAATATCAGAAATTTAAAATTATGCATACTTCCAGCTTTTTTCAAATGACCATGGATTCTGAAAATTTAGTCAATACTGTAATGATCCAGAAATTAGACCCGTGAATCACAATGTCTTTACTGTAAAAAATTAAACAATTATCAAATAATCAAAAACTTAAATTCCGGTATTTTTAAATCTGTATCGATAAATTAAAAATGAAACAAATAAACGCTAACGTAATTCGACACCAGCCTCTGTCATCATCTAAATTAAATTCTTAAAAATAATAATAACGAGGACAGTGTGACATCACTAACAACCGATCAATGAACTTTTTTGTTAGCGAAGGCCATCGGCGTACCTAATTAATTCGAATGAAGTATGGCATTCTTGAACCCATAACGTTTTGACCTCAATAAATCAGAATATTGCGACATAATTAATCGGTTTCAGGCTAAAAATGATATAAAATTCCAAGGAAGTTGCATCATCTTAATTGTCATGGACAAAGAGATTTGGGAGCATCGAATTTTTATATAAATACCGCGTTTTTAGAAGGAGAAGTTAGTTGCCAGCTAACAGTCCAGTTGAGTAAAAGTCTACAGCACCAAACGAGTTTGTCCGCTTGAAAATTCGCGAAGCTGCCTCGGAAAACGCGTTCGATTTAACTTAGAAAAGTACGGAAAATTGGGAAAGTAATAACATTTGAAATTCGTTCAATAATTATGTGTTGGCTCTAAGTAATCAAAATTAGATTAGTTTTGTGTTTTATGGACAAAATGTAAGTACTCTATAGTGACAAGATTTATTTTTGAATGATGAACATGACTTTGTGTGAATTTTACTAGAAAAACTTTTGACTTCTAATCACTGTGGAACTTTATTACATTAAAATTAATAACTCGAGTGTTTTATAAATGGAACATTATTGCATAACTTTAATTGCCTTCAGATATAATGACATTTAATTGTGCAAAGAAAGTATGAAGGGAATTTATAATGCTTTTAACAGAACATAAATAGTTTCGATTTGAGTAGGGATTATTAAATAAGTTTGAACTGGATTGTCCAAGTGAAAACTAGGGGCTATAATAACGAACTCATAAGAATTTAAATAATTTTGTATGTTAGCCGGGATGGCGAGAATTTGTAATTGTTCTAATTAAATGGGATAGGAAATTTTGAAAAACAGCATTGTCTTAAAATATTGGAAAGTTGTTAAAGGTAACTTATGATAGTAATTTGTTCTGTTAAAAAGGAAATAGGATGTTTCGAAAAGAAACTTGTTCATGAAATAGAATTGGATTAAAATATTGGAAAGTTGTTAAAGGAAACTTATAATAGAATTTGTTCTGTATAAATAAACTATTAAAGAAAATAGGAAATTTTGAAAAGAAACTTGAAGGTCATGAAATAGAATTGTCTTAAAATATTGGAAAGTTGTTAAAGGAAACTTATAATAGAATTTGTTCTGAATAAATAAACTAATAAATGAAATAGAAAATTTTGAAAAGAAACTTAATGTTGAACTGAAATGAATTTTGAATTAGGGTTTTATTTTTCAAGTAGAAATTATTGTAAGGTTTTATAAGAATAAGTTAGTGATACCTATATTGATAAACAAATAGGTAATTATTTTGGGTTTTTTTAGGCAATCAGTAAAGGACTTGGAGATTTCAAAGAATTTATATAATTAGGTGAAGGGTAGTTTATTAGGAATGAATCGGAAGTATTGAAATAAGTTAACTTATAAGTTATGAGGAATAGTAGGAATTTTTCTTATTTAGTAGGGATATTTCAGTGGTCCGTAAAAATAACAATCTAGAACGGATGTGAAGTATTAATTTTATAGTTTTATGTATAATAAAAAATAATTTAGTACACCTCATTAGTTTGTTTCTCTCTCTTGCAAATAGACCCTCTTCCACAGATTTGAGATAGCAGCTTCAAGTATGAATAACACCTTCAATATACCGCTCGCCATTTACCATCTAACTATTAACATAGAGTACTTGGGGCGTTCGGCTACAATACTGTACAACTTTTGTATTTACACCTTTCATCTACCTGTAAAGGTAAAGGCTGTAGGTGGAGTGTCAATATATAAAAAAACACCCTGTACTTACACTAATTTCTTACATAACAACAAATTAACTCTATCCATGGTCTTTTGAGCCAGATAAAGCGAAGTCCTGCATAGAAAGAAACCCTTACCTTATATTTTCTTTCGTTTCTGGAATTCCGTATCCTAGAAAAACTTGCAATATTTTCCACCGCACGATCTATGAAGCCAACTGTTGCAGGCATACTACGACTCTTGTAAAGCTATCGAAGTCCAAAATTGAATTTACATTTGAAACAATAATAAAGAATATATACTTAGGTACATACATACATATACGTATTTATATACAATATATATTAATTTTTACAAATATACAATACAATATAATGTAATAATAAAATTTCTTTACAACAATAATAATTATTATTCATATAATGTTTATCACAAGATTGGTCGTCAAGGATTAAAGGTAAAATGGCATAATAATCATTTTGATATGGATTATTACACAGTTTTGAATAGATATGACAGGTCGATTGGAAGGAGGACTAATAATGTTGGTATCTAATAAACTGAAGGTGAAAAGTAAAATGGGTGCTCGTCAAAGTTTAACTGTTTAATAAATCCAGAATGCATCGATCAGTTTATAGAGACACGACTATATAAAAGCATTCTATTGGAAATTTTAAAACGCTTTTGATGGATTCGCCTTTATGGTTTTACAGTTCATAACAATGAACTTTATCAAATGGGTGCAAAAATTTCAAACAATAAAAAATTCAGCGCATTTTACATACAATACAGCAATATACATTTAATAAAGACATCGTATAGACACATTAATTCTTATTACTCCAGTTATTTTGTTGTAAAAATGCCACCCATCGCCCTAGAAAAACAATACAATTTACTTAAAATGACTGGAGTACACTAAAACATTGTTTGAAGTTAAAAGCGCTTATGTTTTCCCTGCGTTATTTTACAGAAAACAGTTCTAGAAAGCAAAACAATTTGGCCAATAAAAATTGCTTAAAAACATTTTTAAGTAATTTTTCTGGCTATTTATGTTTCCGACATTGCTTCACTATATAAAAACATAAACCCTTACAAGTAATTATGGCAATTTTTTACAATTTTTACATCCGTGAAACTGAGTACTGGAACTAACTAAATTTAAAAGTTTTTAAGGAACTTTGTTATGCGTTTTCATTATTTATTGGATCCGTGTAGCTGTTTCATTTTTATTTGAAACTAAATAGAACCTAATAATTCGTTGTGATATGGTACTTCAATTGAGATAGATTTAATGCCCAGCCTCTTTATATTTAAAGCACTAATGACGACTTTTCAAAATGTGTTTGTTTGGCGTATATAAAAAAAAAATTACAATTTACTTTCCTCCTCAACAATATCATCCTCACGGGGCTTCACGCTTAGTCGCCGTTCCCGTGAGGACGCCCCTCCCTATATCCAAGTCCTTCTTTGAGAACCTCCACTTGTGCCGTTGCCATTGGTCGAGGTAACGTTGCCGCTGTTGCCAGTGTTACTGGAATTCGCCCTCTGTCAAGACAACTGACGCATCTCGCAACGGCGCATCATCACTTCGTCGGGCACGTGACTGTAGCACGTGTTGGTAGAGGACGAGGGCGAAGGACGAGTACCAGCTGCTACTGAGGTTTGTTGGTTGTAGAAGACTCGGACGGTTCCTAGAAGAAGAAAAATATTATTAGGTTTGAGTTCAGAATTTGTTTGGCTATGACGCACAGATGATTATCAATAGTGTAATTGTCGATTTTTCTTCCGTAATTCTGCTTCCATTTTCCATAAAGTCTTTTATTACATGATACGTAGACTGGTGGACATTTTGAAAAATTTTATTTTAAGCGGCTTTTCGTGCGACATTCGGCAACTTGACGTTTCTAGGGTATTTCGACCCCGCTGATGTTGCCAAGTCTAATTTTGCCTCAAATCCAAGATGACGGCCAAACTAAGAGCATAAATGACATTTTTCTTAAAGTGTATCGTTATTGACCGGCGAGATATCGTTTCATATGTTTTTGGGATCGCTGAACATGAATATGAGTACCGGAAATCGATTCGGATTATCACCAGAAATCGATAAGGCAACCAGAAGTACCGTAATCCAAGATGACGACCGGTTGGGGCCCAAATAACAAACTTCAAAAAGTTGCTATAATATGACGTGCTGGGTATGGCCACAAGTGTTTCGGAGGTCGCTGAACACGAATTGAGATCGGAAAAGCGATAGGAAACATGTTACTTGTCACTTAATTTTCTAAAGGCGATTAGAGAACACATGAGTGGCAGCGGATAAGAAGAGCTTTGGGTGGAAAGTGGAATTGCAGCAGAAACAATAGCTTCAAAAATAATGGAGGGGGAAGTTTATAGTAAGGGAATGCGACTCATGAAATTGACGTTGCAAGCGTTAGGGAGAATAATCCTCCCAATATTTCAGCAGTACTTATTTTCTTGATGTGGATCCAGATTTAGCAGAGAAATTGACGAAATCTGCCTGCGATTTAAATTATTGTCTTCAAGAAGTTCTCCAACAAAATAATAAACCTATTTTCGAAAATAAATGAATGGGTGACATCTACAGAAAACGCAGAGCTGCAGTTTTGGATGACGTATGTATTACTAGGTCCATGCGTGACGGTAAATGGGATTTGTATTTGTCATCACTCTCCCAGATGTTGCCATTTATGGCTAGGTATGACCACCACAATGACCTCAAATCTCTGAGTGTGTACATTGCTGAAATGCACGCATTGCCGTCTGAGGGTGAAACTGCATTTAGACAAGGCGACTTTGTAATAAAAGCCGGCCCTGGTAATTTTAATGAATGCACATATAGCAAGGCCAGACCTTCCTGATCCTTGCCGGTACGGTGTTACGATAAATTTATCATTTACGTAACATGTTTCATCTCTTCTTATTTTCATTATAAAGTTGTATTTTTTCCATTTCAGAATCAGCAAAATAATAATTCCTAATAATCTAAAAATATTCACAAAGTTCTAAATAATACCAATGCTGCCATCTATCCATCATGTGCGAAAAATGCAAATATCTCTTATTCATTTAGTAGTACTGCCACCTAGTACCGGATGAGTAGTTTTTTTTTTTAATTGTGATAGTTTTCCTTGGCTATTTTTATTTGACATTCATTTGTATTTTCATTCAAAGAAATTATATTTATCTCACTTTTAGCAAATGAATATATTTCTGTCTTTCTCTAACTTCTGATTCTGAAATAATCATTTTTTGCTTAATGACCTGATTAATTAGCAGTTTCTTGTTTTTATCATAACCTCAATTTAAATTATTATAATTTGTAAACAATTAAATAATTCTAGTGGATGTTTATCTATTCTCTTTTATTCCACGTGGTTTTTCATTGTGATTTCATTGTAAAGTGAATATGATCTTTCGGGTGTACTCGTTTGATTGGTTGAACTGGTTAAAATGCAGTTCAGTATAAAAAAACACAGGATCGTTTTCCTGTGGGGTTTGGTTTCTAAAATGTTCTCTTTCCTCTGCGTAGTCTAGCAGGGAAGTCGATTTTATTCTTAATAATTTTGCTTTGTATTTTTAGATTCTCCCTCATAAATTTTTCAATATATTTTGCTATCAATCCCTATCATCATATCATTGTTAAGTTTTTACCTGATCAATCTAATCTTATCTGTTCTTGAAATATAAATATTAAGTATATTTTAATTTTTTATTTGTGGGCTTCCATTTTGTGCGAGTGCCGATTGGTAGTGCCACGCTTTTCTGAAGTAAGTCAATTCAGACTTTTGGACTAATAAATAGATACTGCTGCTCTGGTTTCCAGAATCAATTGTTAGTGTGGGAATATTGAACCATTTGCTCTAAATAGAGTAATCGAAAACCAAATTTGTGTGTCCATCCCTATCAACTCTTTATTGAATCCAGGCAGAGGCCTGAATAGCCCTTTTCTGTTTGACTCCGTCAATTATTATCTCGACTAAAGGGCGTAATTTTTTTATAGAAATCCAGACAAGTCAAAAATTTAGTTAAAAAGTTTTAATTAGAACATCTCAAGAATTTTGACATATTCTGGATTTGATTAATTTCAACCCCAGGTTTATCTTGTAGTGTCTATAGTAGCTACCTTAATTTGGAAGGAAAAATTTGTCTATTTAGGGAAGAATCCAAAGATTTAATTTCTTATTGTTTTTAACTACCTTATTTTGTTCATATTTTTGCCTGCCAGAGCTACTGTCAGGAAAGCAGCACTCTGCTCTATCTGTAGGGAGCATTTTACTTTTACTATCATCTAACCATTATTTTCAATTATACAATTGTAATTTTTTTTATATTAAAATATTTTTTTTTTTTTTTTACTTGCAATAGCTGTTCATACCTGATTCTGTTGGAAGGAAGTGTCTGTACAACAACAGTTTTATATTAAATTTCAATTTAAATTTTCTTTGCAAGTCTCTCACTTTTTGACAGAATTCAGGGATTTGATACTCCAAATATTGGTGAACCTGATTTCTGGGTACCTACTCGACATTAAGATCACTGTTTGAAGTTTGGATCAGCTGGAGTAATGTCACCCCAGCAATCTATCCTCTTCCTGGATACAGGAAACAACACGAAGAACTCCAGTTCACGAAAGTGAAACCCCAACACTCATTAAAGAGCTCCGGAATGGAAAGGTATATGGTATCAGATTCACCGAAAAAACCAAGCTGTCAACACTAAAATTTCACAGTAGCATTTACTGTTACTCTTTGTTACATACAGAACATTGTAAACGAAATAAAATTATTGTGTGTTGGATTTTGAGTGGTTTCATTTGCACATAAAGGGACTAGGTTATCTTGTCTTAAAGTAACAAATTTTAAATTATTTGTAACAAGTTTTGCTTTCGGCTAAATAATCCAGCTTATTCTTCCCACTGCTTGCTGATGTCTAGTGTCTGATCCTGAACAAATTTCTGCTATCTTATTTACAGGATTCAAATCATTATTGGAGGAAAATTTTCTCACTTTGATCTCCGTGCTCCAGTTTCTTTTACATTTTCCTAGTTATGTACTTTCATTTTCCTCAAAAATACTTTCTAAAGATGTCTCAGAGTCGCTTCTTGGGGATTTATTTTCGGTCCACACTTTTTCTGACATTTCTTACTGCGATGCAGGATTTCAATTTTGCCAATTAATCCGAGTACGAACTTTCACTAGTCCAAACTACCTGTTTTGTTCAAGTGACGGCCTCTAAATGAGTAAAAGTATTCCAATCAATGATGAGTTAAAAAAAATTAAATTAATGAATAAATCAACCCAAACCAAAACGAGTCTCGTGTAAAAATAAAACAAATAGTAAGTGGAAATGAATCCCATCTGTTTGATACAGAGAACTCAGCAAAAAATAGTGAAATACGATTACAAAAGGGCTATCCGAAATTATTGGGGACGATGACCAAAAGTGCGTTTGAATCTAGCTTGGCATTCAATTAAAATTTGGTTTGCCTCAATAAACTTGAAAGCTTTTTTATTTACGATTTCTTCCGAAATATCTCCAAGGTATATTTTCAAACATAAAATGTCCATCAAATACAAATAAGTTGTGAAATATTGTGAGCATATTTCAAAACAATCTTTTAAATTTGCCCAGATAAAGCAGTCACATAAATTCAACATGATATAAAGCTGCCGACATTTTTATCATAAAAATAGTATCCCTACATGATTGTCTATATATAAAATTTGGATAAGTTATGAGCGGCACGAGACCAACAAGCAATATTTGCTGCGGTTTCACAAAGCTGGACCCGAATTCCTTCCAAAAAATATTATGAATCTATGTAAAATAAAATACCAAAGACACAATTACATGCTGAACAAATTTGATATGGAAATAAGCATGAATTTTTCAATGCGACATGCAGTTGTCGACTTTCTACATAAAACAATAAAACACAAATAATATTCTATGATTCGTGCATGCCACATTAAAAAACTCATACGTACAAATTTTACTGTCAAGATTTCGAAGATTTTGATGTTGCACGGTCCATTTTTGCTGACGGAGTTCAAGATATTTTTGATTAGCACCTATAAACGTTTGGGTTAGTTGGGGTTAGTTTTGCTGAACATAAATTTCACTTCACTAGCTGAAATAAATATTTTTAAATAACAGTCTTACCATTTCTAATAATCCTATTATGATCTGGTGATCCTGAATATGATCTCCTTTTGCTTGTAAGTACTTCACGTCTTGTCAATGCTCCTGGACTAACGTGAACGAATGGTAAACATGAAAAGAACTGCTTGAAGCCTCTCCGAAATCTGCAGCAATAAATAAGTCAATTAATCAACACCTACTAAGTTTCATCAGGGATGCTATCAGCTCTAAAAAAATTGTACTAGAAAGTAGGGAATAATTGTACTAGATTGGCGACATTGTGTACTAGACAGCGCGTCAAATTTTGAAAGGACAAATCTTATGGAAATTGGATTTATGTCGAATGTGTTGACTTTTTGATATTTTGTAGAAGTGATGGTCCTTATCGAAAGTTACCATTGCGTTAAATTCGAAAAATGGACAGTTTTTGAGAAAATCCATGGTAAAGAAATGCGTATCATTCATAAACAGGTTAGCGGTGTTTTGGAACGCGATGTTCAGGTTAATGGGTAGAGTCTCCGATGGCACACTCACACTGACTGTGTCATTCCAGAAACTGCTCCAGTGCCATCAGAGACTCTACCGACACACCTGAACATCCCGTTCCGCAGCACCGCTAACCGCTTTATGAATGATACGCATTTCTTTACCATGGATTTTCTCAAAAACTGTCCATTTTTCGAATTTAGCGCAATGGTAACTTTTGATAAGGACAATGACTTCTACAAAATATCAAAAATTCAGCACATTTGACATAAATCCAATTTCCATAAGATTTGTGCGGGGTCTGCTCTGCTCTGCTTTCTGCTAATTGGGGGTAAATAAATATCACTTGTTTGAATATTATGTTATCGTCATTGATATCATCCAAATTGTACTGAATTTATGAAAGGGGTACAAGGGTACTAGGTAAAACGTGATTGTGCTAGATCTAGTACAATTGTACTAGAAATAACATCCCTGAGTTTCATGTCAAATGCATCGGGCATGTATTTTTCTTTAAATTAGGTCTGTCCGTCGCCATTTATACAATAAAAAGAAAAAGTGTATGTGGGAAGAGAATAAATTCGCCTTTATCTCTTGGCAGATAATAAAACAGACGTTGTCGCATTATGGGAAAATAATGGTCAGTACGCTAGACTTTTCTCGGCTAACAAATTCTATTTTAAAGCCTGGGCGACGGTCGTGCAACTTACCGCAAGCAGAATTGAAATGTACAACGATTTTGCTAGTTTGGGGAGAAACTTCGGAAACAGGATTGTGGGCTAATTATTTGTAAAAAAAACAACTTACCTGGCATTCATCCAACAATAAATAATGGGATTGTACATGCTATTGCTCATAGCCAACCAATAAATTGCCAGGAATGTTTCTTGAATATACTTCGATCTGGTTATTTTAGGATAGTAGGCAATTATAATGAAGTATAATTGGTAAGGAAGCCAGCATACTGCAAAAATTATTACCACCACCATCATCATTTTTACTACCTGAAAGTGGAAAAATTGTTAAAAATTAGTTCGTAAAATTTTAAACTTAATTTAATCAGTTTAATTCATTAAAAGCCCGCTGAAAGGGTGCTCTTAAAGTCAGAGAACCTCAAAACTGAAACAATCTATCCAGATAGTATACTAATTGCGTGAAAAACAATGTAAACCTCCTAGCATTTAAAATTAGAATGTTCTTGGGGTGTCGGGATGAAGCAATGCCAACCAATCTAAATTCAAATGAAATGCAGTAAAACTTCAGCAATTTTGCGTGGTTTCGTCGGCGGTGCAAGGCGGATAAGGGAGCTGCTAAATACCGCCGAGAGGGGCGTTTAATGTTTATTGAACCGGTAAATTTATTGGTTCAAATGGAGTTTACTTTAATTTGGGAAGGTAGCATTTACGTCTTTTGATCTTGGTAGTGCAATTCAGTTTGTTTTGTAATACAAACTTTCGACAAAGTGTAGAAGATTCGACAATCGAATAGGTATAAAAGATTTGGATAGAAATATTTATTAACATATGTATTTTTAGGCCGAAAGACCATGAATAGAAAGTGCTCCTTTCTATGAGACCCTATCTTGGGTTACAAGGGGGAGAATTAAGAATTCTGACTTTATACTAAGAATTGGTAGGTATGACCCCCTTATCAAGGAGGCCGAACTAATAGAAGCGAATCCACATTATATGTTCTGATCAAATATCCATTTTACTGTGACAGCAAAATAGCTTCTTGAGGTGATACTGGTTCAACACACATCTCTAAGATTTTGATAAAATTCTCTTAAATCTTGTAACACTGAAATCCATTCGAGAAGTTACATTTTTTTAAATGTTCTATTCTCTTTCTTTACAATCTCCTGATGCATCTCATAGAGGATAGATAGATATAGATTTGGTTGCATTCTAAAATCTTTCGAGAGAACTTTTTTGAGTCTAGAGGCAGTTGACGTGGTGAATACTTTATTGTAAAAGTTCTTCCAAGTTGCCCTTTTCTTCTTCTCTCAGATGTTCTTTGTATATTACCCAGTTTTGAGTTCTTTTAGCCGCGTTAAAGACATTCCTCTATCAGTGGCGGCGTTTGGACGCACTGGGACCCTAAGCAAATATCACAATCAGGCCTCCCTACATAAATTTTTTTGTGCTCGATCATCTTGCGAATCCAGAGTTGATAAAAGTTCAAATTTTGACTATTACCGGCTCTTGATTGGCTCCAGGAAAATTTTCCAGATAATCAAGAGCCGGTAATAGTTTAAATTTTGATTATCTGTGGCTCTTGATCCATTGGATAATTTTTCTTGAGCCAATTAGAAGCTGCGAAAGAAGACATTTTGATTGATATCGACTTAAGAGCTGCTTATGATCAATCGAAATTTTGATTATTATTGGCTCTTGAGCTTTGAATGCTCTCAGAAAAATTCTCTCGTGGATCCAGAGTTTATGAAAATTCAAATTTTGACTATTACCGGCTCTTGATTGCCTCTAGGAAAGTTTTCCAGAGATTCAAGAGCCGGTCTATCTATCTATCTATTCAGCCTTCTTCAGTCCATCTTTGGACATAGGCCTCCCCCAGTCTTCTCCATTCTTCTCTGTCTGTTGCCATGTTCATCCACCTGGTTCCAGCGTGCTTCTTCAGGTCATCAGCATACCTCATCTGGGGTCTTCCTCTACTTCTAGAAGTAGAGGAAGACAAGAGCCGGTAATAAATCCAATTTTGATTATCTATGGTTCCTTTATGCAATGGATAATTTTTTTGGAGCAACTAAATACCAAATATCCATATTGAATGTTGTGCTACGTCTGATAGACAAAATAGAAAGATCATGCAGTCTAAGCTTACTTATGAAATTTCTCAAATAATTTTTCAATATTTTTGATGTACTAAAATGATCTTTCAGCGGTGGTAACTGAAAAGAATGTACCAGTTAAGTACCTATATCGATTGATATCGGTTACTTGTATATGCATAGGCGAATATAAGTGATGGTTAGGGACCCGGGTACATAGGAGGCCCGCAAAAGTCCCCCTTTAAATGCAAATACATTTTATATATATAGGGTATTTCACGAACATCAAGACAGAGGCGTTTTAGGGTATTTTAAGGTCGATTTGAAAAAAAAAGCCCCGACACGCCATTTCTGTATTCAAGGGGGAGACTTTTTAACTCCATCGGTATTTCCCTAGGGTGCACCACCTGGGTGGGTGACTTTTACACATATTTTTTAGATAGGGAAGATGGGTCGTGTGGTACCTTGTAGGTATTTTGATTCTCGTCACAACTATGTACTTTTTTTGAAAATAGAATGATTAGTTCGCAAGATATTCACTGTCAAAGTTGCCATGGGCTAAATAGGAGACAATCTTCTGTCCCATTTTTTCTTAAATTAAAACTTTCCTGACTTTCCTCTTGGATACATCAATTTTTTTTTTGTGTGAAAAAACTAGAATTGACGTGTCCGAAAGGAAAGTCAGGAAAGTGTTGATTTGAGAATAACAGGGCCAAAAGATTGTTTCCTATTCAGCCTATGGCAACTTTGACAATAAATATCTTGAGAACTACTAAGTACATTGTTGTGAGGAGAACCGAAATACCTTTAAAACAAGGTACCACTCGACCCATCTTCCCTATCCAAAAAAGAGGGGTGAAAGTGACCCCACCCAGGAGGTGCACCCTAGCGAAATACCGATGAGGTCAAAAAGTTTCTTCCTTGAATATAAAATTGACGTGTCCGAGCGTTTTTTTTTTTAAATCGACCTCAAAATACCCCAACGCACCTCTGTTTCGATGTTCGTGAAACACCCTGTATATCGAAAAAATATTTGTACTTAAAGGGGGGCCCTTGCATATCGTCGCCACTGTCCTCGATGTCCTCCTGAGTATTCCATCTCCCCATATCATCCTGAGCCACCATTGTTTTTTTGATGAGTTGAGCTCAATGAAGTAGTAAGAAGGTTTGGAATGGGCTTTGCGTCATCCAATTGATTCCAGCATGAGATAGCGCTAGTAAAGGCAAAAAATCTATTGGATCTCCCATATCTCTCACGCCAACCCTGAGTGAGATAGCGCTAGTAAGGGCAGGAAAATCTCACGGATCTCTCCTGTTCTCTCACTCTAATGTTGGCCGCAAATAAAAACCTTCTTACTACTTCATTGGTTGAGATGCTTCACATAATGAATGAATGAATGAATGTTTCGAAGTGTTATTGTGAAGTTCGCCTTCCTGGGCAATGCGAAGAGCTTCCATATCTTCTTCAGTTGAAAACTTTTTGAGCATAGATTGTGAGATATCTGAAGATAATAGACCTACTTTCGAAACACATTATTAGAGGAAAGGCGACTAATATTAGGATACTGCCTAATATTGGATACGTACCTATTTTAAAAACGCAACTGTATATGTGCTTCCATCTATTAACTATAAGCTGCGTTACACCTTAAAACCTCACCAATGAGTTTGCAGGGTTACTATGTCGACATAAACGACATTTTATTGAAATGAGTGTATATGAAAATTATTTCAAATATTTCTAAATAGGATGGCTAGTGCATGTTATAAGGTAAATTTTACTAGAGTTTTCATCAATAATATCTTATTTTTTTTGTCAAAAAGAATTATAACCTAAAAAATTTATGATGTGCCTAATATTGGATTCTACCGAAACAGGAGTACAATTGGTCTTTCCAAAGCTATCTAGATTACCCTTAAAGAATGTCTTCAAAAACTTGAGTCATCTGTGTGTCCCTGATGATAGGTCTGTCTCACATAAAATTACAGAATTTTCTTTTATTGGTGCAAATCGCCAACAGTTTTCTGACTATTTCTAACCAATGAATTTCGCTCTGACTGGTTTGTGATTTCTGACCTAATATCTTCATCATATCCAGCGATCCAGAATAATCGGAAAGAAATCCAAACGGCTGAAATAACACGAACGATAAAGCTGACATTTGCTATCGTTCAAAAATTGAATCATTATTATTATTATTGTCAGCTAATCTTTAATTATGTTTCCATTATCTCCTATCCTCAGCAAGCAGTATCCAGTATCCAGCGACTCTATTTTCATAACATCCGTCTAACTACTTTGGGATCTAAAATCTGAATGCGTCACTTTACGATCCTATTCATTCATTTGCAATGCATTTATTTAGCCACAGAATGGCTCCCACAGCATCTCGTAATCCTGAAATTTGTCTTATTTCGCAGTCTGGAGTCCAATTTTGAATAGTGATCCTCTCATTGAAATGACTAATTTGAATATTGATTTAAGTTTGGCTAATGCTGCCCATGTTGTACCCATTCTGCGCTGGATTTCATGTGTTTGAATGTCTCGTCCTATGCTAATTTCGTCCCCTCTATATTTACAAGAGCATAAGATTTGGTTTTTCTAAGATTTATATTAGTTAAACTCAATTGTGTCATTACAGCTTCACTATAACCATGTTATTGACAAAACAAACGTAATTTAACTTGTGCCTAATGCCATCGGCAGATCAAATGTAATTTAAGTTTTCTGCATCGATGTTAGTTTCCACTAACTGCGCAAATAGACTTCAAGCCGATAAACTAGCTATGAGAAATTAATGGCTAGGAATTAGAAAGATTAAATACGAAATAAAGCTATTGTCATTTACCGCGTTAAAGGGCATTGGGCAATAGGTAGGCAATCAGTGACCACACAAACAATAAAGCTTTTGAAATTCGATTGGCGATATACTACAGCAAGCTGGAATAACCTGGCTTCAGAAGCAAATATCAGAAGTCAATGAAAAATTGGAGGAAAAACTTTATAACCAAAAAGAAGCGTGTTGTTCAGAGGGTTTTTGTTCTCAGATTCAACTTATATCTGGAATTAAATTTTTTCCAAAAACTTTCTTGATATTTTAATGATTAATAATGTAGCAGGACACCGCTCATAAAGATTAGAGTTCTTCTTCCACGTTTAACGTTTAAAACAAAAACAAGCAGGCGAATACTCTGAATAAAACAACGATCTCGATTTGTTATTGCAACTTTTATAGACAGTTCAAGTGAGGCGATATTCAAAGAAACTCCCTTGAGAAAAAGGCACCGCTGTGAGCAACGAGTTACGGAGAATCTTAATGAGATTAGTTTGGGACTGTAATGGACTAGAAAAAAAATTGTGAAAATTACAAAGTCAATTCGAGACTTTGATGCTTTTAGAATGATAATACAATTTGAATATTCATTTGATTCGATCCAATCTGATTTACTTTGTAATGTGAAAATTACCATACTAGAAAATCCTGGCTTTGACTAATTTTTTTGCAATAACATTAAAGAAAACCATAGTGGCATAGTCTCAGTATCTAAACATTTAGAAAATGGAACAATATTTCTCAGCAATACTACAACTGCAAAGTAAATTCCATCAGCACTAAATCGACAAAGCTCAGCCAGCAATTTCTGCTTCCAAGAACGGGTAATCAAGCACATAGTCTTACCTCGATTAAGAACTTGAACCGAGCAAACGGTTAATGCGCTCGCCCCATTCTGGATATAATGGCAAAATCTAAACTTATAGTCTTAGCGCTGCAGTATATTTCGAGTTGATTGAGTTATCTCGAATACAACTGAGGTGTAAACTCACCTTTATATTCCCAAAAGATGATTATTGTTGTTTCAGTTTGAGTGTATCTTATTTGTGCTATTTTGCACTTTGATGGATGTTGAATATTTATAGAGAATTAATAGAATAGTTTGTATGTATATGGAAATTATCGTGCACATTAAATTATACAAACAAAAACACTACTTACTCTTCTTTTACTTTTAATATTATCCATTTGTCTTTGTGTGCACTCTCCTATACTTTGAGAGCCCCACAGTTCGATTCCTATCCTAGCATAAGTGTACGTCATCGACAAAATTGGTACTAGGTAGGTGATTACCAGAAAGGCCACATTGAAGCTGAAAAATAGATACAAAAATAAGTTCGTCAAACAATTTTCCTCAAAATGTGAAGCTTGAAATATAAAAGAATGGTTGGTTGCACAAAACTTTGCTTAAGAAATGCATTTTCAACATAAAAGGAGATTGTTATAGTTTTGAAATCCTAAGTAATCACTCCGGCAGTTGCTTTTGAGAAGCATTATTTATTTATACAGAAAATAAGTTTATCTTTCAAGCAAAATTGTTTACATGGATCCCGCTATTACAATACCCAAATGTTAAAGAAGCTCTATTGTTTCTAAAAATCATGACGAGCAAGTTGAATCCTAATTGCATTTCAGAAATAATTACACTTTGAAATTTTACTATAATCTAAACTTAAACTAGTAAGCGTGGAAAAAGTCAATTATTCGTAAGCTGAAGGTATTGTGAAAAGCTGAAGATGACTTTTGTCTATGAAAATTCCGTTCATATTTTTTAAATTCCTACCAGACGATATTCGACTCTTTGAAATACATTATTTGAAAAGTTTTCCCCAGGGTCGCATTTCGATTTTTAAAGTGTATATTGAACTTTTCCCTGTCGACTTATTTTAATCATGGGTATTTGAATTCACCGCGTACAAAAAAAGCATTGTAAGTACAATTTGAAAACCTAATATAAATGGCTATCTAAGTATATACTCACCAAAAGTTATCTACAAAGATTCCTTTTGAGACAAATTTCCTGTCGCTCTCTAATTGTTTTAAATTAAAGAGCTAAATGCTTTTCCCTTTTCCTAAAAGTGTCCTTCAAGGGGAAAGGCCTTTTATAAAGAAAATAGTCTAATTCCTTTTAGCATTTGCTTTTAAATTAGATGCTGCAATTGAATAGCATACTAGGGGGTAAGTGTTGAAAAAATGAATGCTTTATTTCTCAAAATTTGTACTATACATTATCTACGACAATATTAGGAAAACCACCTATTTGAAATATTATTTCTTCAAATCTTAAATTTTTTAAAACGTTTAGTAAAGAAGAGGAAATGGTAAATGTTGCAACAATGTATGCGCTGGAAAGTAGGGGCGAGCGTAGACGCGCCACACAAAAAGGTACCGAAGGGTCAAGGTTGTTTGAAAGAGGTAGGTTGCCTGATAACTGTATGATGTCAACTGGGGTGCCTCATCATAATGCAAATCTCCATAAGGCACCCCAGATGCGTCATCAAGTTACCAATTACTAGGCAACCTATTAACTTTAGGATCCTTGCCGAAGGGTAGAGAAGAGATAGGAACATGGAAGACGAGAGAAGAAGCTTATGCCTTGGACCGTTTGTCCTCCATTGTTCATTATTCAATTTTTATTTTATATTAAACTGATTGTTCAATTAAATTTGTGATTAGTTTGTGTGTCATAAGGAGCGATCACAGGTCAGTTGAATAAATGTTATTTTGTTTTTGAGAGTTCAAATTATACAAGTATTATTTTTTCCATTTTCATGTTTTTTTGTTTGTTTATATAATTGAAAAATCTTCTCATGCTGTAAACAACGCAGATAAAAAAGTAAATTAAAAACTAAAGAAGTTATGTGCTGTCTTTTGTCTTTTGAGATTTTAATTTTTGTATTCAGAACGTGCAATAGGGCCTTGTTGAATCTACCAACATTTTCCTACCCTGACAAGCGAATATCCTAGCAAACAAATTGAAAAATAAATCTAGAGATAATCAGGCCTATGATGTATCATTTTCTGTTATTTTGACAGCAACGTTAAGTTATCTGTCACTGTTTATTCTACACGTAAAAATAGAGAAAGGTATAGATTTTGAGCTATAACACAACTGTTAAAATAACAGACGAGGATACATCATAGGCCTGATTGGCTCAAAATAACAACTATAGCTGAGTAGTCTCCCGTAACCAGGTACCTCAGTACCTGCCGGCAGATGGGCTAACTAATCAATAACTCTTCAGTATTGAATATAGGAAGTGTTGATTGAATGTAGTGTGTGGATTAAAATTTTAGCACAAGCACAAGAGCGGTACTAATTTAAACTTTTATCATTGACTTAAATTAATAAAATGACACAGTATGTTTTGGTTTTTGAGGAATGTTAGATCGAGGGTTCGAGGGATTTGATTTAATAATAAAGTAGACGTTTCACAAATTTTTCGTTTATTTTACATATCACAACTTCCCTTTAATTTCCCTAACATGCGAGCGCATTTCCAGTACCTAAGTAAAATTGAGTAACTTTCCACAACGTAGGTCCTATTTGTTTTTCATTTCGTTTTCCAGAAGATTTGTTGTTTAAAAAGAGATAAAAATTCACACTGTTCGATCTTCTTAAACGAATCCGGGAATGTTATACTACACATACTTGATGCGAATTTTCCTTTTTCTTATGGCCACTATTGATGTCTATGGTTTTACAGAAATTACATTTAAGAAACAGAAATTTACAATTCAACAAGAGGTGAGCCCATTTTTGTTCCATAGAGTCTATAATAATAATAATTTTCATATGAAATTATTTGTAACCTTCTTTTACGGATGATTTAATTCCCCTTCAATCTCATAAAACGCCTCACTGTGCCTTGGCAGCCTATTTACTTTTTCGGGCAAAATCTAATTCTGATAAATATAAGGCAATTAGTTTTTCCGACTTGATGGGTTTACAAAGAAGGGCCTTGTCGACGTATACAAGCCATATTTTTTTTCTTCGAAGATTCGAGGATTGTAGAGCACAATCTTAATTATATCGGGTTTAAGTAAACCCGTCTTTTAAGTATATTTTTTTAGATGTTTTTGGTAAAAAATATACACATTTAGTACTTTGATGGACTAGCTATAGGTAGGCGATTTTTTGTGTAAAAATTGATGAAAAACATAGGCATATTCTATAAACTTGAGGAAAATTCGATGTTCTTCTGACCTCATTAGGACATTTTTTTTTCATTTATGGCGTGATAAAAAAAAAAGTAGATAAACGGAAAAAAGTTATAAAAATTGCTGCAGACGCATAGTAGCCCTAATAGAGATGAGAACATGAAATTCACTAAGTGAAATATATCTAATCCTTGTTGTAGAAGAATTTATGCAACTGTCTGTATTCAGGGTTAGGTTTTGTACCCAGATACTGGGACTTGATAAAACTAAAACCAAGAAACAGCGGAAATTACACAAAAAACAAGCTTTGCAAGAACCACAAGAGTTCACTTTACTTGAGAAGTGAAGTTTCCAAAAAATGCTCTATAACTGCATGTACTTGTTTATCTTTCATGTTTAAAAATGTCAAGTATTTTCTGATATTTTCCGTTTCAAGAGGTAACATTCCAGCAGGTTATTTAAGTAATTTTGAATTTTCGCTGTCAAAAAGTTCCATTGGATTTCCGAGGATTCACCCTCTTCTGATAGCCGAAGTATTTCCAAGCTCGGAATAATTTTAGAAACTTTCTTCCTAATGATTAATATAACACGTTGCCAATTTAAATGAAAATTCGCTATGCGATAAAAATAATGGTATAGTTATTTTAAATTTTCGAGACCATTAACTTTCCGATCTTTTTAGAGAAATATACTATTCTGAGTGCACAAAAAGGAAAATTTAATGAAGCCAGCTTCGAATTCGAATTTCTAAAAATACGCTACAGGATAGATACACCCAATTTAGGAATGTAAACATAAGGATAGGGCTTGTTTAACATAATTTGAAGTTTAGATTTTGTTCGGAGTAGATACTAGTAGAAAATTCGGGCAAAAAATGTCTTTCGAACGATTTTTACTATTATTTTTTGGACATGGGGTGAATAATAATTGTTATGTATTTCCTAGGAGGTGTTAAAATCAGTGACACTGAAGTAACAGTGTGTGTTACAGAAACTAGGGTATAATTAGATTTTTACTTTGAATCAAATTGAATACCTAAATATTTAAATAAGTTAACAAATTCCAATTGGTCTAAAATTATGAAAATGATCAAATTTGTTTTATGTTTATAATTTCCTATAAACATACATTTGCTTTTTGATATATCTAACTGTAATTTGTTTACATGTCAGCAAAATTTTGCATTTTACATCTTTTCAATCGAGATTCTAATTTATTTACATTTAATATGGATATCAGAGGTCTTTAAATACTACCTAAACCAACATCAATGCCTTAAGATTTTGAAAAAAAAGTTTATTATAACTTGTTGCCTATAGTAATATAGGCTAAATTAGAACTGAATTTTTACTTACTAATATTCGTACAGGCTCTCATTACTTATGCCATCAGGCCATTCTGGATAACATATCACACGTTCCTCGCCATTTGAATAAGTGTCCCGGTAAGTTTTATAGTAAAGCAGTGAGGGCATGCCTATAATGATACCCAAAATCCACGTGAGAAGAGCTAGAACTAACGTTACCATTCTACCCATGCGAGGTTTTAGAGGAGTCATTATCGCCATATACCTACAAATAGAATAAAACAGATAAGTATTTTTTATTTGAATGTTTTAATATAAGCTTATTATTTCCAACATTAAACTCCATCCAAAGCAAAATTACATACATATAACAACTTGAAATATATAATATTTTGTAAATTTAACCTGAATAGGTATAAATACTTAACATGTGTGATAATTGAAAAGTTTATCACACGATTTATTTTATAATACGCAAAGGAGGATTTAATATTTGTAAAATCAGATCTCTTCAAACAACAATGCTATAATCAGGGTTTTCGCTATATAAATGAATTAATCGCTTTGGGGTAACTAACGAAACGTATTTGTATCACCTTCAACTTTGCATCTCATTCACAATTAAGCAGATTTGAGACCCTTATCCAATGTTGCCGACCGGATAATTTGAATTTAACCACAGTTGAATTAGTCTTGATTTCAGTTGGTTTGCGTTTTTTTTTTTTTGATCGGCAGACAAAATGGATTTATTATTGGAAAACTTCAACCAACATATTTGAAAGTCAATTATAGTTTTTCGAAAAGTAATTTTCCGCTGCAGAATTGCGGCAAAAACTCCAGTTGAAAAGTTATATCAAGTTAACCGCACGCCCGAGGACCGAAAAGTCCCTTGTTTGCCTTGTATACGAGATTGTTGTTCAGGGACATGGAGTTCCGTTTGGTTCACTTATTTACTATAAACTTACACCATACTATATTTGTTTCAAAGTTCAATCAGTAAAATTCCATTAATTTCGCTGCTGCCGCCACCTACGATAATCTTATTCTGCTTAGGTAATTTCCACAGCATTACATTTTAATTTAATAAGGCTTATCTAATATGGAGTAGGTATGCAATTTCCTACTAATTAAAATCTTTATTCTCATCAAAGGGGGCTAAATTGCATCATTAAGTGAAAATTGCCTTTTAGCTTCACTGAGGTTCAAATAAGAAAACATTTGCCTAGCTAATAGGTATAATATCAATTGTGCTTTGGTAAGACTAAGTAAATCTTTACAAATTATCTTCAACTTACAATGAAGTATTAACTTCAATAAATTTGAACTTGAATAATAATTGTGGTTTTGTTAGGAAATTAGATAGCAAGTAATTTGTTCCATTGTTATATTTCTTTAAGAATTGCATAGTTTCTGTTTCTTACCTATCTATGGAGATAGACATCAAAGAAAATACGCTAGCGCAAACAGACAATACCGCTATAAATTGGCTGACTTTGCAGTAGAGTTCTCCGAAGGGCCAGTGGGAATATAACATGTAGACGTAGTTGAAGGTGACGTTTAGCGTCGAAACCATTGTGTCGGCTACTGAGAGATTTACTGAAAAAAAAATAACATAGGGTTTGTTAAAAATAAGAAATATAATATATTTTGGAGGGAAAATTGCACAATTAGTCTAAACTTTGCCGAATAATCATACAGTTTCGTATATTTTCGTATGGTTCTCGATCAAGTGTATGCCACATCTATCGGTACCTGCTGCACGTGTCCGGTGCCCCACCTATAGGTTCAGTTGCCTATAATAGCCCCGGGGGCTTTTGTAATTATCGGTACTTGCCGTATGATGCGCCATCTAGGTTCGGATACCTCTAATACCCCTAGGAATCGGGGGCTTTTGTAATTATCGGTACCTGCTGTAGGTGTCCGAATCGGGGCCTTTCGTAATTATCGGTACCTGCTGTAGGTGTCCGAGGCGTTTTGGAGATGGTTTCTCGCGGTCAAATTCCGGGAAAACCCCCAAAAATTTAAGGTTGGCCCGGGTCAAACCCCCGAAATTTCAGATCAAAGGCGTTGCCGATCTAGAGAATTTCCCACGGTATCGAAAAAGTTCCCAGGCTCAGGTGCCCCCGTTTGTGTGTTATTTGATGCATTTGGCCATGAAGTTCAATGAAACAACAATTTTTCGGTAAAATTTTATTCATTAAATCTTAAAATAATCACATTTGCTTTTTCCTATAATTAGGTAGAACATTCTAGACAATAAAATACCAAAAACTACAGCTATGGTTATTAAACAGGTATAGATTAAGTAAATAGATGCATCAGATCTCGAATCGGTTGAAGTAGAGTTTATAGTTTCGTTTCTACAGAGGATTTTAGAGATGGTTTTTTGCTGCGGACCAATTCCGATAGTTGTCCATTCCCTGGTTTCTAAAATGCTGTTTTTCAGGATTTCAGGAATTCCACTTGCAATACTGGTAGAATCTATTCCGCGACTCTGGAAGTACTGTTTGGAAGGTACGTGTACGATCGTTGTCTATAAGGTGGTAGTAAAGCGGAATCCATAAATCGTTGGAATAGCTATCAGTTTTCAGCTGAGCATTGATATTTCGGACATCTGATGGTTGATGTATGTAGAGAACATTTTGAACCACTGCTGCGAGGGCGATGAAATTGAAACTGAGCCAAACCATTGCTGTTACATGAATGAAACATCCACTATTTGGCCAGAGCTCTTATACAGAAATAACATGGGTTTTGTGAGGAGGGAGGTCCATCTACGTGCGTTCTCCAATCAGGTCTATTGTAATGAATGAAACAGGGCAGTCTCACATGCAACTCAAAAGCACGCCTGTGTTCAAGTGGTAGTTTTCCCAAAATATTTAAAAGTGCAGTACTATCGACATACTGTAGGACGGAGGTTGCAGAAACCCCATATTATACCTACTCTGGTATTTTCCTGTTTCTGACTACCCCCTCAACTTTTCCATGTTAGTATGAATTCAATCCTATGTACAGTTTTTGAATAATCATACAATTTCCTATGTACAGTAGTGTAGAAAACATCAACATTTTCAATACCTACTTATATGAGCATTAGGTTAAAAAGCCTGCATGTTCTAGTATTGTGTAGAGTTTCAAATATGCTTGATTGATTGATATGATGATTTAGCCTTCTTTTTCAAATTCAACTAAAATGTTCTGGTTAGTAATTGAATCAAATTTATCACTACTGATTTAAAATAGCCATATGACTTTTTAAACTTATCAGTCACAATCAATTTTTAGCTCGAATATTGGATAGAGGGCTATTGAAAATCAAAACACTATTTTGTAGTATATTCTGACTTTAAGAAGTAACAAAACTCAATGGCGCAGCAACGATAAAGATTTTCAAGCTCTGGAATATTAGATTTGCATGACTTTCCCTGCAACGCCAATCGATGGACATTCTTGGACAATAAAGTACATTGAAATGATGAAAAAAAAGTTCTTTGGGAGCAAGATTTTCTCGGTTTATGTTCCAATCAAAAATGCACAACTCGTAGCAAAATTTCGTACCAATAATCCTCCAATTTAAAACTAGCTCCATTTTCTAAATTTCAGCTTTATTGCTTGGAAACTTTTCTAATAATTCATTGTTCAAGATTAGAAGTACTTATGCAAAGTGTCGCGACGTTATGGTGCCGAAGATTTTAATCCTTTTTATGCTGAGTAATAGTAGTAGTTCAAAAGCGATAATTACGTTTTTCAAGCATCAAATATTTGTTAATTAAATAAAATTCATTTGAGAGGTAGATTGAATTCGTCCTACTATCTATTTAATGAATTTTTCATTTCACAGTCGGAGAAGAATTTGAAAATTCGGTCAAACTGACATGAATACTAATTGGTATAGCCCAGTCTTTTTTCCACTAACGCAATTTAGGGATTTTAACGGGATATAAAATTGTCAACTTTTTTCACGAGGTTCTTCGGTTTTTCTCTCTGGGCCACATTTTACCTTCTGGCTTGATGATGCACAGGAGACCCGAAAAGGTATACATTTCAGCAAATGGGTGATAGATTAACACTCTTTTGGACATATACATCTGGGAAAATTGATGGTGTTTATTTCGATGTAAGTAAGTCTTGGGTTAAATAAATTAGATTTGAAAAAAAAACTAAAACATTTTTTAATAATGATTTAAGTTTTCTATGCCTAACTTTGTTACGAGCGGTTTTCGAATAGGCTACAAACACGCTTTCAAGTTATTTTACTTTTGTTTTAATGGAATAATTAAAGCCTGATGAAAGTTTCGCGTACGTCCTTTCTTGCTTGCCAATCGTAAATATTTTATTATGTTCAAAGTTGGAACAATGTGAAATATGGATTGCCTTCCAGAAAAAAAGTTTTCATTTACTTCTTTGTTTTAAATTTTTATGAAAATGTTCATATCATAATAATTACAGTTAAATATTGTGAAAATTATTTATATTTTTCGAAAATATATAATAGTCCGAAATTGAGTGAAATATAAATGGCAGTGGATTTGCCATAGCTATTTTTATCCGTAAAATAGCGTTGCTTTAAGGGATTCAGTATAAATCCGGCCATAAATAAAAAGGGGGAAAATACATTGCTATGGGCCTGCAGGCTGTGCACCTTTATATTAGGACAAAGTACCATGGTTTTATTTAATAAAAATATACACCTACCTACAAAAAAAAACACACAATTAAACCATTTTAAAAATTAGATTTGTTGTAATTTATCACTGGGATTGAAATATGATTATTCAGCACATGAGTTTGCAATTTGCTTATGAAAGAGGCATGTGCGTGTATCGTAGTATGGATTCCTGCTAGTGGAACATGTATTAAAGGTGTATACAGGGCTTTGTTAAGCGAAACATTCAATTTCCAATGATCAACAATGTTTTATATGCAAGCGCACGACCCGATGCATTGTGATTGAATGTATTTGTTTGTTTAAAGTTTGGATTATTGGTTATTCGTGCGCTTTTTTAATTTCAAGATTATGTGGATTTTATTCATAACATACATAATTTCATTTTCAACTAAACCAAGTAATTACAGTAAAAATGTTATAATTTTCAAGGATACGAAAGTCAGATAATCAAATTTGAAGTTATTTACTGTGGAGAAATAAAAAGAGACAAATTCCAATTTATTTGACATTTTTTTGATCGTATTGAACACATTTCATTCATAATAGGTGGAGAAGCTAAAGAAATATCCCCCGATATTGAAAACGAGGCTGCGAAGTTATTTCTTAGCTGCCAGAGAAATTCAGACATATTTACGAGATGGTATTCAGTCGATTCCTTGAATGTTTGTGTTAAACTGTATATAGGTACCAACCGAAAAAAAAAATATTTATAAGATTGTCATTATGAACATAGTTAAAGTGAAAACGTTTACAAACTCTGTTACTGCCTATAAAAACAAAAAATTTCTTATAAGAAGGTTAACGAATTATTTTCTAGAGAATATCAAAATAGGCTGTTAGGTATGTTTAATTACAGCTATAAAACCAAAGTAGCCACCTTAAATTAAAATACCCGACATCTACTGTTATATAAACAAGTAAATGACTGTCATATTCATAAAGCAAATGGAAAATGCTAGTCTTACATAAGCTCCTACAAGATTAGGGTGACTGCTCATATGAAAATACCCCGAAACTTTTTCCTTTTGTGAATCGTAGGTACATTGGTTTTCAAGTGACGAGTCAAATGCTTCAAATAAATTCAGTAGAGTATTGGGCCTTAGGAAAGGTGAAACACCGGTTCTAGCGCAAAATCGGTCATTTTTACATGTAAATCTCCATAAGAAAATCTAAGGTCCATTCTGCACTTTTTTGTACCGGGTGATTGTCTATATTTTGTGCCCACACCTATCTCACCTGTTTGAAGAGATACCCAGAAATGTCAAGTGTGAAAGTTGTAGGTAATATCAGAAAGTTTTCAATGATGTTAGTTACAAGTATACAGGGTGTGCCACAAAAGTGTGGCGAAGCAAAGTTATATTTTTTTAAATGGAAAACCCCATGTATTATTGTTCGGATTAGCCAGGGGACCACCAGGAAAATATAAAGGTAATCATTCATGTGAAAAACCATATTATTTCTTCAAAATGGGATATTCAGAGGCTGGACTATGACTATGAGGAATAAACCTAAAAACCCTAGTATATTTGGAATCAGGTTTGAAAGGCTAATCCAATGAGACAATAATATACGGGGTTTTCCATTTAAAAAAGTATAACTTTGGTTCGCCGCACTTTTGTGACACAAATTACACTGATATTACCTACAACTTTCACATTTGACATGTGATTACCTCGTACTTTGTCTAGTTGCAGATGTAAGTTGCTACAGGTCTAGAAACAGGTCTGTATACAGACAGATCTGTATACAGCTATACAGGTCTAGAGACAGGTCTGTATACAGCTAAACAGGTCTAGAGACTGGTCTGATACAGCTATTGAATTGACCCGTATTATGGGCCCCAATTTCTGGCTCTTTGTTCTCCAGGCCCCATTTACATAACCTAAAACTCATGACCTAAAAGTTGGCTCCCGCCTCGTACAACTTACATCTGCAACTAGACAAAGCACGAGGCGGATTTTATTATTAGTTACGTCATCATCAGTACGAGGTACCTTGAAATGACCGATTTTGCGCTAGAACCGGTGTTGCACCTTTACTGGCCTTGATTCCTTATGAACAAAATTTTTCTTATAAGCTATTCTATTCAAGATAGTGATACAAAATGCATGAACGTTAAATACATGTGCGTGTTATGTACCAATAAAATTATATTTTTCCAATCATCTGCGGCTCAAAATGTTGTTCCTACTCGCATTAATACCGCAAATGACCCAAAAGACTTGTTTACACAGGAATAACAAAATATCAATCTTGTTTCTGATTTAATGTACGAAAAACACGATCATCCTGTAGGAAATCCGATCCTTAGCTTGAAATAGTTAAAAAAATTTCAAGCCGCATTCGAACAAACCACCTGCTATGAATTGTCGTATATTTCTTAGAAAATTCATTGGAATCAAGAATGTTTTTAAAGATAATGGATTATTTTCAATTTTAAGTGCCCTATCGAAATCGTTATTGGCTTTGATGCGTGATTCAGCTTTGATGTGCGATATATCTTCAAATGAGGAAGTAGAACGTTTCCGAGAATACGAATTCAATAGATTCAATGTTACAAAGGATCTTGAGAAAGAGATATCGGAAAATCAAGTAATAGGACATTGTATCAGTACGCGATTTTGGACCAACTTTGCTATAAATTGTTTCTTGTTATTGCTGATTAATGATGATTTTAATGAGATACTTTTAATTGCAAAAATGCATTAGAAAACTGATGACAATAAAAAATCGTAATGAACCTGATTCATTGTGGACAAAATCAAACTTTATCTTCAATATAACATAAGCATTTCATCGTCACATTGTCAGATTACCGAATCATAATTTTAATCCGTCCATCATTCAGGCCAAAATTTCAATTTCTTCGAAATCCGAGTAAGCTCTCATTGTCAACAACGGAGTTTATGTACCTGCATAACTTTGCTCATTATTTACTGTTATTAGTATTGACCTTATGATTAAATTTCAATTTGGGTAGGGACTGGCAAGCGAATTAATTCACCTATTGTAAAATGACAATAGATTACTCTAGGCAAACAGCAATTTGGTCACTGATAACAGTTCACTAGTAATAAGGAAGGAATGCTTCTGCTAATGTGTAACTTTTACCTCAAGAAGAAAGGGTTTGACACCTTAGCTTCTAGTAACATGAATATTCCTAAATCATGTTAAATTGAAATTTATGTTTCATTAGACAAGCGCTTTAATAAACTTTTTTCCGACCGAGACAAGTAAAGTTAAAAATAAAAAATGTACGATCCACCCACATGCTTGATTTATGCTTGGCATTATAAGCTAGGAAATATTAAAAAAGCACGTCCGTGAAAAGTTGTAATACCTGTATTTTTGATAGAAGGCCAGAAAATATAGCATACTTTTGGATTCTTGGATAAGGTTTTGCCAGCCATTAATATCGAATATGGTGCTTTTATACATGTTTATTGAGAATCATCTGACTGTAAGTTTCGAATATTTATGAAGTTTTGGCCGAATGTGCCTCTACACTTACAATTTTGGATTAATATTAATTGAATTTTTTATTGTTTCTGTTTATTTGATAATTTTGATACTTACATAAAAAGTAATTGGTGACAGTTCTCATTCTTTTGTGCGCCAACACTATCCAAATAACGATCAGATTGCCTCCCGTGGCCACAATAACCATTCCGGCGTAGAGGATACTCCACAATACCTGACGCCATACTGGTAGAATAAATTGGTTTCCGGCTGCAATAATATTACAAATAAACATTCAAAAAAATATATAAATATATATAATATATTCATGATGTTTATTTTTTTCATTTTAGAGAAGAGTTATTTTACTAAAAAATAATACATTATAGAAAATTATCAGAACAAATTTAAATAGAAAAAAAAAACAGTCATAGATAACTTTGGGCATAAATAGATTTATTGAAACTAAAAATGTTCTATACAGAACCCCGAACAGAGCAAAAATAAAAAAATTTAAAACCTATAGCAATAACATGCACTTACTAATTGAAAACACCAATACTGCGTATAATCAAAAACAAATTAAAAATAACAAAGACTCAAAAGAAGCATGGGGCGCCAGTTAATAAAATTTATGGAAAAAGGAAAAAAACCGAAATAAGAGAACTAAACAAAGAAAATGGTGAAGTTTTCACAGACCAGCAACAAATTACAAAAGTAGGAAAAACCTTAGCAAAAAATAAAAATAAATGTACACAACAAAATAATCAACAACAAATTTATAATACAAATTTCATAACTTGTATACGGTTTAAATGAATTCCGTAAATAAAAAGCTAATTCTGCGGTGAAATTTCCTCTGGCGCAAAGCTATTCAAGCTGCAATTGAACGATAACACACATTTCCATAATTTCTTTCCTCCAGAGCAGAGCAATGTTTTGCATTTCAAAAGAACGTAGCTTAACATTGTCCCGCGTACTTGAACGAAAACCTGATTCACTTAAGAAGATTTTCATTTACGACTTTGCTTAAATTAACTTTTACCTGCGGCCAAAAACACCTTCTACAATGTCAACATTTATGCTAAATATATTTACCTTCTAAACTGAAATTGCCGTCGAACGGATATTGGCTCGAATTGTATTCGAGAGGATAATCGGTAGACGAATTCGTATGGAACAGCTGGTAGTCCACCATGATATTTCTTTTAGACGCATGTACTCTAGAAATAAAAATATAATTTGTAACACTATGATATGTAATTAAAAGTTTTATTTGACAAGTAAATTGCTACTATATTCCCAACAGTCCTAAATATGTCGTTTTGCTCTCTTCATATGAGAGGTAATTATGATGGCATTGTGAAAACATAGCGCCTGCCTGAAAATACTTTACGCCAGCAGGTTTATTATTCCCAAAGGACACAGACTATTTATTACACCCTTTCTTTGAATTAGAAGCATAATAAGGGTTATGAAATGTTCCACATTTATTACTAGGAACTAGTGTATCAAGGATTAGATTTTTTTCTAACAAGTACCTTTGGCGAGCTTTCACATTTGGATAATATAATATACTATACTGAACATATTTGCTTCTATATCTATTGTATTCAATGTTTTATGTAAAATAAAAAAAATCATTATCCAACACTGCAGTTCGTTCTGGAAGTTTTTTCGTAATTTGAATGTGACAATTTTCTCTTTCAACAGCTTTTTAATCATAGACTGTTTCATTACCAGGGCTACCAGAGTTTATGAAGAAGCCGTCTTTCGCGAGATTTGGACGTTTTTTAAAGTTAAACTTGGATTAACAAATGTCCGAATATCGGAACATCTTTTGAAAATACTCAGGTATTATCTTCAATCTATTGTGAAGTGATACAAAACATGTAGTTAACACATTTTTGCTGCATATTCAGGTGGCTGCGGGGTTGAAATCCGTCGGCGCATTCAACAAACAGGGTCAGCCATGAAAAAACTAACTAAAAAATGGTGTGACAATCATATCAAGAAAGCCATTAGATTGTCGCTTGTCCGGTCTCTTGTCTTTTTCATATTTTTGTATGGCTCTGAGACTTGGACTGTTAGAAAGGCAGATAGCCACCGCATAGATGCATTTGAAATGTGGACTTGGAGGACTATCTTCATAGAGTTACCTACTGTAATGACCCGAGAAAAATTGACTCGTAATTTACAATGTCTTAACAGAAAAATTAAATATAATCAAATAATCAAAAACTGAATTTCCAGTATTTCAAATCAGTTTCAACAAATTGAAAATGAAACAAATTAGCATTGACCCAAATTAATTAAAATATTTAAAATAGGTACGTTCGAAAATTTATTAGTCAATCACCAAGCGTGTGTCATCACATAAATCAAATCCATAAAAATATTAAAATCAAGGCAAAAGTAATTAAATTGGTGATTTACGGCCGACAGGAGTTTTCGGCATATTCGTCTTCACATTCTTACAACAAATCTGTTGACCCCGATATTCCAGGAAATTGCGATATAATTATTCGGTTTTAAACAAATAAATATATTTCTTAGAAAAAAGAACGGTGAATGAATTTACATGACCCGGAATATTTTTTTGGGGGGAACGAAACATATAAAAACAGCGGTTTTAGAAGTCATCACATTAGTCCAGTTGAGTCTTCAGTCCAGTCTTGAGCTTAAGTCTACTGTACCTAATGAGTCAGTCCGGATAAAATTCGCGAAGAGTTTCTTTTATTTTGTTGCCTCGGGAAAACACGTTTAATCGAATCTTTGAAAAAGTAACGGAAAATTGTGAAAGAGAGGACATTTTAATTCGTTCAACATTATGTGCGAGCTCTAAATAATCAAAATAAATTAGAATAATTAAGTGGCTTTAAGGGCGATAACTTAAATGTGAGTTCTCTAGTGAAAAGTTTTATTTTGACTAAGGCCGCGTTCACCAGATACAAACGTTGAAAAATGGTTTGCGATTATTCTGCTGAACGCTACGTTGAATTTGTGTTAAAACCAAACATGTTTTGCAAACGGTCGCCATTTTTACAAGCATAATTTCAGAGTGTTTATATTTTTCAACACTGTGTTTTGTGTGGTAACCTGTCATTCAGAGGGTGACATTCTATTATCGAAAAGTTGAATCGTTCAGCAGAACCAAGAGTTTACCTAACATATTCTGTTGGTATTTGTTAACTGTTTACAATCCGTTTTGGTTCTGGTGAACGTAGCCCTCATCAATGTTGAAATGACTATGAAGTGAATTGACTATGAAACTTTATTACATAAAAATTATTAACTTGAGTTAATTGACTTTGAATATATTTTTGTGCTTAGTGTAAATAGAGAAATTTAATTCAAATGACTGTTAATTGAAGAGTTTGGATAATCGAATTAACTGTTTTGTTCCGTCTAGAAAATGATTAGTTAGATATTTTGGTTTCTAATTAAATGAATTAAGATAAAGAGTTCATTGTTTTAATAGTATTTACTCTGGCTAAGTACAGAATTTTTGAGTATAAGTATTGTACAAAATTTGGCAGTAAGCGAGTTCAGGGATTTTATACGCTTATAGAACAGAAAGTTATAATAATTAAACTAAATGATGTATTATTGTTTTGAGGTGTAATAGTATATTACATACCGAGGTGGGAATTGTTTCATTACTGTCGAGAGATTAGTTAGTACTATAATTTCGAGACAGGAATGAAACTTCCTACCAAGGTCTGTATACTATTTTATTTACAACAATTATAACCATCACAATTTTTGACTAAATTCTAAATAGAATTAAAAAATTTTGTTGACAAGTTCTGACTCATCTAAAAAAAAGTTTGACATGCAAGACTTGTGTTCAACGTTTTAGGAAATGAGGGCTTATTTTCCACCCGGGAGGAAAGTAAAATTCAAAAAAGTGTCACTTTCAAACTTTTCAAAAGTCAGAAATGTTAATATTACGTATGCAGTTGTAAATAAAAGGGGTTTAGGATTTAAAAATATTGTACCTAACGTAGTAGGGCTATATGAAAGTATTATTAAAGTACAAGGCTTTTTGATTGCATCAATTTAGGACTGTTTATTTTTATATTGAATTATTGAAAGGTGTTGGATTAGGGTTTAGAAAATTGTACCAAGTATAATTATTAACAGATAACCATATATCACTGTTGTCTCTTTCCATTGCAAATAGACCCTCCCCACAATTCTATTTTTCAGTAGCTGCCCAAGGAAATAATTACCATCAAATACGACCGCTCGCAATTTACCATCTAACCTAAATAATAGAATACGTGGCGCGGATGCTACACCTACAATAAAACCACTAGAAGTTGACGGTTGTCTTAGATAATAATTTGTTTCCTAAAAAATTGTTATTGAATCTTGATTCTTCGGTTTACGACGAAATAAAAACTCTGGATTTCTCGCAACATCATTGATGGTTGTTTTCTATAATTCACCGAAATGAAGGCGTTTTGAATTGAATAAATTCCCAAGAAATTTTCTCATTACAATACAACCTAGTTTTCCCAAAATTGTTTCATTACATACAACCCTCCACTGTATTCGTGTCCATTCATCAAATTTCACACAATGACAAAATTGTTTTTTTTTTGGTACCCCCCAATGTCCAATGTCACATGACTAATCGTAGCAAAAACTCAGTGTGTAGTTTCGGAAACAATACACGAACGTGGGAGAAAAATACGATAGGGATATTTATTGTTTTCACTTTCATTTTGACTGCCTATAGATCGGTTTTTGTTGGTTTAGCGGATAAAATAGAGAATGTAGCATTTCGAATGCGCCCTGCGCACGGGATTGGAAATTGCCACCAATAAATTGCCAAACAACTACTGAAGGAGGTTTTTTTTTTTTGTTATTGAGCGAACAAGCTTGGAATTCTCAATGTATGTGGGGTATCAAATCTAGTTTTCATTGACATACAATAAAAAAAAATCAGCAACGAGAAGAAATAATGTTAAATGAAGTCTTTCATTTGCTTTAATTTTCCTGGCAACTTTTCAAGTTCAGTGACAAAGGTCCGAAGTCACTGAGAATAAATCCTTACAGAGTTTTTCAGAATTGAATTCAAAAAACGAATGACATGCCATTCCGTGGACAAATAACTTAGCAATCCGCCTGCTTTTATGTAATCATGCGGATTCCGGAAGTAGACGACAAAGAAAGGAAGGAAGGAAAAAAACAGTTCCTAAAAATAGCCCCACTGGGAATACTAGCCCTATACGTTTTTTTGTGAAGACATATTTTCCCATCTATTTGGAGTAACATTGTTGGAATTGATGCGATTGAGAACATTTCGTTTGAAGTAAAATGTTAATCATTTTTATAAATATTTATTTTATCCAATTCAACTATTTTAATCACAAGATTGCTCTTATTTGGTCAAAACTTATGACTTATCGATTTCCAAAGTTATAAGCAAGTTGCATGGCTCTTCTGAGAGAATTATTTTGACCATAGTTGTTCTAGAACAAATGTATTTATCAACCTCTGGCTACGGAACATTAAGTTTAATGAGAGACGACAATTCTGGAAGCAGAATGTTATTATGAATCAATTCACAGATTAATAGCTGGTAGTCATTATGTATTCGCCTTACAACCAATATTGAAATCAGTATTGCACAGAGAAAAAATTCTAAATACCATCCTAATTTGAGATGAAATAAAATTATTTTCAAGGATTCCCATGAAAGGACCCTTCTCAAACATAAAATCAATTCTATCAGTTAAATCCCTGAACAAACATTTCACACATTGCCCATATTTCACACTCTTATCATAGGACAAAACCTATTCAAATGTCATAAAAGACTTTTTGGCCATATGCATAGATCCAAACTTGGGCCCAGGTCACTCGTACATCATGTCCGACGTAATAAATGGGAAAGCTCTATTCTGGCACTGGACACATACGTGTTCTGGATACGCGAGCTTGGGCTTATCCAGCCGTCCTATTTTCCAATTTAACTCCTTGGGATACATTTGGCGGTTTTTCGGATGTGTTATGTATGTTCTGGCAAAAACTTTTCCAATTATTGGATCATGTTCGTCTGGGTTGTTTTTCGGATAGATTAAAATTTAGAATTTGTGCGCAAATTTATATTATAGATTTTGAATTTGAACTAAATCTGAGGTAACTTGCTTAGTGGATAGAAGATATAAGCATGTTATATGCGGAAAGTAAAACTATTTGATTTTGAGAC